TCACTATCAGCATCGTTTGTTCGCATTTGGCCACCGATTTTCGACTACACAAAAAGTGAATATTCGAGAAGACGATATTGATAATGACATCATTATTGAAGAAGTGGAAAAGAGACCAGCACTCTATAGTCTATGATAAATAACTGAAAGACTACTTTGACATTAATTTGAAAATTAAAGCATGGGACGAGAACATAATGTAGAACTTTCCACTAGTAGGCTGTGACTCCAAAGGGGTACCCAGTATTATTTTCGCTTTATTCTGGGTCTGATGAGATCATAGACAACGACCGTCTCTCCGAAATCCATATCGGCAAATGACGCTTCGATTTCAAAAAAGTTTTGTCACTGTACTCTTCGTGAGCGCACTCCACTTTAGAAACATGACGTGTCAATGACAAGACTTTAATGTAACGGTGACAAAAGTAACCCGTGCGCGCTTAGCCTAAATAATTATAAACTTTATTAATTAAACCTTAGTCCATTGTTGCATTATTTTACAGACGCTGGGCCACACGCCACTTTAGGATCTGAACTCCTTATAAAATCGTTTATGTAAATACCAAAGCATTGTGTTTATAAATTGTCTATTTCTTATATATTTTGGCTCATAGGCCGTTAGAACAAATATTGTAATATGATGAACTTAATATCAACAAGAATGTACAGCAGCCCTTTGCTGACCTCGTCTGTAAACCACTCACATGGTCGAGTTATGTGAATTTTGTAACAAATTTACATTCAATGAAAATTTATATAACGGCACAAATTAACGTCATAGATTTCATAGCTATTTCATGCTTATAGGGGACAAAACTTTCGACAAAAATAATATCTATGGAACGTTAAAAGTAAGCACCAAGCGCCTTAGACAAAGATTCGACCCACAAACGACATTAGCTCACGTTTGGTGACATGACAATATCCGTAAAAATGTTTGTCTCGGTCCACTCGGTTCATCATAAAAGTATCCCAACGTCAATATTAGATTCAAACGTCAATGTTTCTCTATTACCACAGACTTGTCATAACGTTGATATGTAATTTGAATTGTGTTTAATTTCGAAAATTTCGTTTGTCACAATTTTTAAGAAATTTAAAATTTAAAACGTTAGAGATATGTAAGTAAACTTTGCTTGTAATTAAGTCGAGTCAAGTTATATAAAATTGCCACCCTTTTACTAAAAGTGCACTTCAAAACAAAAAACAAGACAAAATAAAAAAACTCCATAGATAAAATTCAATTATTACATTTACGCGATCTATAATTTGGCACGATGGTCTGCTATTCAAATAAGTACTGGTCAAAAAACCTAGTCACTCAAAAGAAAACTGTACTCTATAGTTTGTATACAGAATGTGTTCACTGTCGTTAAATATTTTGTATACATAACAAATATTTTGTATACATATGTAATTGTACGTCTTAAATCGAGACTGGCAAAAGATGTATAAATATAATTAAACCAAATCTATATTTCTAACCAGTATGTAACGTATTACAATTATTTATTATATTAATATAATTGAAATACATTATGTAAAATTACTTAATGTTATTTTTTTACAAGTGGCAAATTACGACGGATCGGATTAAAACCTTTAACATATATTTTATAATACAAGAATAAATCAAGAAAAAAAAAAAGAAAAAAAAAAAATTCTAAATTATGTTTGCATAAATATAGACTTCGGCACATGCTACTCCCCACCTTGATTTTCATTTTTTGGGGTCCCACCGAAAATTTATATTAGGTCAGTAAAAACTTTATTGTGAGTTTTGAACATACGGTACAGTCATAATAAGCATTCACTACTTTTTTAAATTTCGAACACAGAATTTAAAGAAAAAAAACAAGCCCCCTGAAAATGATATCAAACAATCGAATACTAAGAAAACTTGATTTTATTTTTATGGATTTAATGGCAAAAACATTACTATTCTATACTTTAAGGGTTCTATTCCAGTATTTGCAACGTATTACAATTATTTATTATATTAATATAATTGATATTATGTTTACATAAATGATGATACAAATTATAAAACTTAATTGTTATATTTTTTACAAATGGCAAATTACGACGGATCGGATTAAAACCTTTAACAAATTTAACGAATTTCATAGTCAACATCATATCATGTTTATTTATGACACAGAATAAATCAAGATACTAAAATCGATCATAGACAGATGATATTTCGAACGACTTATTCTTTATTCAAAAATAGCTTTAAGAGACTATATACAGTTGTGGTATTCAAATTCTATTTTTAAATTATGTTTGCATAAATATATTTTAAACGTTACAAACGTTAAAACATTTTGACCCTGGGCCACAATGCATAAACCGTGCGGGCCATATAAAAAAAAACGTTAAAACATAAATAAGGTAAATCTAATATTTAATGGAAATTTCAAACATGGAATGTTTTTCAGTAAGCTGTAATTTATGACCGCTTTCTAGGAATAATTTTATCGACTTTCTCAGTCTTTATTCGATGTTATAATTATGTCATCAATAAAAATGGCACTACAGGGCTATAAGTACTTATTAGGAACGTTTTTCAAAAATCGAAAAATATAAAAAATATTTTTATTTATTTAAGCATTACTGTATATTTATAAAATCTAATTTGATAGAATATCGATGAAAATAGTTTGCTAATATTCTGATAAATAGTGGGACGCGTGTGTTAAAGCATTTAATATTTAAAATGTTATACCTGATACAATGATTAACCGGCTATAATTACTCTTCGCTGAAACCCCCTTACCTATAAACAACAACAATAAAATCTTAACTTTAAGAGTATTAAACCGTATTTTTATTTATTGATAAAACGAAAGAGCGTTGACAGAGGTTTAAACACACGTTAAAATTACAACTTCAGAACCTTGTTTTATAAATTGAGAGACAATGGAGGCGGTGGTTATTTATGATCAGATGTAAATTATAACTGAGATTAAGATAACTTTTTTTAAGGACGCGATTTAAAATGAGTGTCTTTCACCTAGGTAACACTGAAAATGTTTAGGAAATGAAAAACGGCTTTATCTAGAAAGTTGCCAATACTTTTATTGTTTTTTGAAGTAATCTCCGTCCCTCTCTACACATCGTCGCATTAGATGGAACCACTGAGAAAAACAGTGGGCACATTCTTCCTTAGGGGTCTCTTCTATGGCATTTTCGTACGCTTTCACCGCATCTTTTGGGCTCGTAAAGCGAATACTGAATAGGTTTCGGGTTCGTAGCAATATATCCAGCTTTTATCACCTGTGACGATGTCAAATACAACATTTGAGTCACCGCTGATGAACTTATCTAACATTTGGCGACACCAGTCCATACGAAGGTGTTTCTGGTCGTCTGGTTAAAGTATGGGGAATCCATCTGGTATAAAGATTCCTGATGCCTAAATGTTCGTGTATTATTTTTTGAACTTGAAGTCACTCATTCGAATGCCTAGTCTTGCCCGTATCTGCTGATAGGTCACTCTCTTATCTTCCTCTATCATGCGTCGCACAGCACTGATGTTATCTTCAGTAGTCGCTGTTAAAGGACGTCCCTCACGCGGATCATCATTGAGATTGCTACGTCCACGATTAAATTCGTTAAACCAATTGTAAATGGTGGCACGAGATGGGGCTTCATTAAGAAATGCTAATCGCAGCCTATCATAACTATGTTGTTAAGTAAGCCTACAACGAAAGTCATAATAAATCATTGACCGAAAATTATCTCGCGTTAGGTTCATTTTCACGTGTAACAAGAGTTTTAAATTTGCCGCCAATTCACAAAAACAAATGACAAATGAATGCAATATACTTTAGGTTACCTAATGCAATATACATTAGGTTACCAAAGAGTTCATAATTGAAATTTAAAAAAGTTTTCATTAGCAATGTTTCTAACTGGCCAGTTCTAAAACTTTTCAGTGTTACCCACGTATTATGTAGCAAGTTGAAAAAATTGTGTTCGTTATTTAAAAAATCATGATTCAATTTTTTTCCAAAAAAAAAAATGTTTTGAGTTAACCCCACATTTTTTATCGGTAAGGGGTAACCAACTAACTATTAATAGTACAACATTATTAATTAATTAAGGTATAACACGTGCCATGATAGATAAGACTCCGTACAACATGTGGTACTCCGTACGTCGCAGTTGATCTTCAGACCATAAAATGGTCTGGACTATGATATATATAATACAATATACATATAGACTGTACTATATTATTCGAGATGAGATACCTTTACATTTTGGCTACAGGGAGTTAACTAGGTCTTCTCTTTTATGTCGCGCATGGTATCGGTAATATAATCGGAATTGTATGAATCAAATTGATGGATGATATGATATGATTCCATTAATGATTAATGAATAAATAAACTTCGTGTAAAAATTAACAATTTGCGACACAAAACAATCACAAAAATAGTTATGCAGTGTTTCATTTACCACAGACTAAAATCAAGCTCGCGCAAAATGAGATAAATTATTGTGTTTATGTGAAAACAGAAAATATCTAAGGAACAATAATTGCATTTACATATTAAGCTCTCGCTAAAATATTCATTGTAAATATATACAATCTTGATCAAGAGCGTAATTAAATTATACATAAAGTCATCACAAAATATTTCAGAGAAAATTATTGCCATGAAGCGTAGAGCATACCATAGACACAAATCATACAAGACAAGTGTCATAGACACTTGGAATTGTGTAAATTTTTTCATTTTACAAGAACTACGAGTACAGCGAAACCTCTGGGATTTATGTCAACTTTTTTCCTAGTTTCGTTATTTAATTTAATTTGGTAGTGACTTTTCTGGCTGAGACAGCCTTGGGTCAAGGTCAAATTTGTGTTAATTTTGTTAGAGTATAAAATATAGACCTTAACTATCGAGTAGAGTGATATTTTTTGAACAACATTAAACAGATAAAGACTTATCTACTTAGGCCCATAACAATCTGGGCTTGGTGTTGGGTCACACACTGGCGCCGAGGAGTCTCTCGTCTGCCGAATGTTCTTCTTCATCGGAACAGCTCTTATCTTTCTTTATCGACTGGTACCGCACCTGACATGAAAAATAATTGTATATATAACATAAGATATTTAAATAATAGTCTACGAAAAACAAAAGATACATTGGTTTTAAAAAAGAAGAAGACATCTTTTCTGTGCTAAACAGTAGTCTGGGTCACTCGATTAATTTATGCAATTCTCGCCATTCATAAAACATACTGTCGAGAGAGTGCAAATCGGCTAATCTACCCTACCTACTTATAGTGTGTAGTATACGGGAGAAGATTACAATTTTTTTTTAATTATTAATAGTAGATAGATAGTAATAATTCATGGGTTATTAATTCTTTATCTATTTAAGGTATTTATTTAAGTCGATACAACAATTACGCGGATTTGAAATTTGATAAATATGGAAATTTAAGAAATGGAAAATCACTTTTTTACCGGATTTGAAGTTATGTTTTATTATAAATTTACAATTATTTTACATAATTTTAAATTTATCACCGTGACCACGCACGCTGTAAAGCACGCGAAACGTCGCGAAACTTTTTTACCGCGAAACGCCGGTAAAAAGTGTTTTTCTATGTCAAAAAGTTATGTAAATAAAAGATAATTTAAGAAATGGTTAAATTTTGGCATTATTAAGATTTAAGAGATAATTTCGCAGTATTTCGATGGATTCTGAAATACAAATCGAATGGTTCTACGGCATACACCTTGGCAGATTGTTTGATAGCGCTTTTAGTTCTTACCCTGCAGAACGTGGGTTCGACATTCTGATATTAGAAAAAATGTACCTTTATCTAGTAAATGTATTGAAAGCAACAACCAGCCAGTTTTAGTACAGATAATATCGTTTTCGTACATTTACTTTTATCTTACCCACTTGTTACTGTGCATTTTTGCTAATAACCATATCCATACATATTACAGTTCAATATCTTTTTTACATTTTTAACATTTCGTCTAGGTTGGGTAGAAGAAACATGGCAGTGAGACCTCTTACATAGAGAGATACATACATGGTCTACTTTTAATTTTATCTGTTTCGTGATGTAATTTTTTTAATTATTATTAATATACGAAGGTGCTCTATAATAGACGAGTATATATTCAAAAGTGTGCATATTGTGTTAAACTATAACATACACAATTCAGTACATTTGTCCAGTGAATAATAATAAAGACGAGATAATGAACTAACCTCCGATAAGACTGTTTACATGTTCTGTTTTATTTAACGTTACAATTATTATTACTCCACTAAATAATTATTATAATCGCTATTTTCTTTACTAATAAATGTATGTGAAACGCTGTTTTCTTGTGTTTTATTTAAAAACTAACTGCTGTCTTGATTGTTTATTCATAATTTTGTCATGATCGTAGAACAATGTAGGATTTGAAAAAAAAAAAACAAAATCCACTTTTTATCATATTTGGATACTACATAGACTAATTATTACTACATTAAAAAAATCCATGAGTTTAAAATTTCAAATTAATAACATACAGTCGGTAAAGTGACGGATTTGATAGACGCTCATAGAAGCATTTTTGTTTTTATTTTTATTTTGTTTTAAAACAACCCCTTTTGTTTGCTTGTATGCCAATTACATAATAACAATATGAATTAAGAAAGATATGACAAAAAAAACTAACATGATTATATTATTTTGAAATGGCTGCCATGTAAAGTTTACTATATGTCAGATATTTGTAAGGGGTCCAAAGCCATGGACCTTCTTAACATTACTTGGAGTACTACATATAAGTCAAGTTTACCTTATTTTTTACCACTATAGGTAAATGTTCATAGTCATTATATTTTTTCCGTCGTAGAATATATATAATTTTTAGTTGTTAGTTTATTTTTATTTATGTGGTATTATGTGTAGATTTGTACTTCTTGCGCTATTACAAAATAATTAAATTAAAACTATTTAAATAATAAATTTTCAAAATAATACATTTTCAAAATAATAAATTTTCCCTATTTGGTTAGAAGTCAAAAGGCTACCCTTATTATCTAAGTGTTCTCATTTACTAGCTTTGTTATTAATTCAACGAAATGTTATTTACCTTCGTCTTTAACTTGGAGCTCACTCCTCGGGGATGGTACATGAGGAAATTGTCTGTCACCCAAAATATTAAAATCTGTAATAAAAAAAAAACGTTAATATTAAATTATTATGATATTACTAGTGGACCCCACAGACGTGTCCTGCATGATATTTAAAGCGATTAGGATATTAAGCAAAGTATGAAAGTACCGACTGCAGTGCCATCTGCCGGGCTGATTTGTGAATCTAAACCATTCCCAGATCCCCTTGAACACACACAAAAAATTTCATCAAAATCGGTCCAGTCGTTTGAGAGGAGTTCAGTCACATACACACGCACAGAAGAAATATATATATTAAGATATATAATTACAATTTTAGTAGCACAGAAAAAATTCATTGGTTCACAGATGGGATTTAAATGAATGTGATAATAAAATGAGGTATAATTTCAGTGTTTCCATTTGCGATACTTGTGTCAATAAAACGAAATTAAATAAATATAATATGTATATACTTACATTAACAAAAAATGGTATAATGAGCATTACAATAGCCAATTCCAGTCTTGGGTCTGAGACAGGAGATAGCCGTAGCGTAGATAAAACAGCCTGAACTAGTGGCAGCTGAAGAACTAATGCTAGCATTGACTTAGCAAAAGTCGCCAGTGCAGCATATAATACACCCTGGCATAACCATGCAGAACACATTGGTGGTTTACCTATAAAGTAAGTAACATTTCTTAATTTATAAGCACTTTCAAGATTCTAGTTGAAATCCCAAAGAAATAAAAAAAATTTCAACAGTAATAAAGTCCTTTTTTATGAAAAAGTATCTCTGTAAAGTGAAAAAGTTATATGAAATATACACCAACATCTTGGAAACCCATTTATGTATATGCATTCATTATTTGACTTACCATATTCACCAAAATTTATAAGTGGAATATCATAAACTCTAGCATAGTATTGGGCAAGTCTTATCCCAGCCCATATTATTAACAGTCCAAGGGTTGAATCTAACATAAAATTGACTATGTACCTACAACAAAAAATGATAATTAGTTGATAATTTTTATGGTTACCTTGGAAGTGTAGACAAATAAATTTTTGTTAACTGTATGGATGTTTAAATTAATAAAATTTGTATACACAAATTTATTTTTAACATACTGTGGGGTAAATACTATGAAAGTATTATATATAACCCTTACGTGTTGACAAAGTGTATATGTGCATTTATATAAGTAAAAGCAACCAAAACAACTGTCATTAGGTTTTTTTATATTAATTTTTTTCTTGTGTATATAAAGAAATATACTTTGAGACTCTTGCAAACTATCAGCTGTGATGCTGTCTGTGGGTCCAGGTATCAGGTTTCAAACCTTTTTCGATTGTTGTGTTGACTAACAGTGTGTAATAGATTATAGTTAGTTATGCTTCATTATTATAATACAATTATTTTAATAGCTCGTGGTAATGGGCTAAACATTCTCAATAGGTGGTTATAAAAATTAACCTATATGAATATACTGAGTCACAACTCACAATACCACATATTGTTAAAGAAAAGCTATCTAAACATCTCTACCTACTATACATCAAACAACACCCTTATACATTTTATACAAATATTTTAATTCTTACCAAGTGCAAGGGTTTCCTGTCTGATATGGTGACAACCAAACATTAGCAGCATGTATAATTAATGCACCTAAACCTTGTTTTGATGTGTCATAAAACCAAATAAGCCACGGTCTTCTTGCATATTTTGGCTCACAAAATCTTTTACCTGAAACAACATAGTAGATGTACAAACAAGGCAAAGAGAGCTTAAAAGAGGCATATATATGCTAACCATGTATATATATTTAGAAAGTAATTTAGATATTAAAATTTGTCTTAATAATCTGGCCAAAACATATTTATGGGAGCCTAAATTTTAACTTTAGAAATTTAGTAGATTGAATCTGGTTGTTTTTTCTTTCATACAATTTCATAATTATGTTAGTGTCAACCTTCACCTCAAACCTTGAAGAAACATACCTATTAGGCACGTAAACGCCAATACAGCAAGTAGAAATTGCAGAAACCATCCATATGTATCAGTTAAAGCATCCTTTGAGCAATGGGGCTCAGACCAGTGAATAGTATCCGAGCTATCATTCATTTTTCATTTCTACGTTTCATAAAACACATCAGACAAGACTGCGCTTTTATATCATTACACTTTTAATATACGTTACGCAAAGATTGCGAGAGGGTATTGTGTGAAATATAAAAAAATAATGGGCTATGCAAAATTTTAATAAAATATATATATCAGTATGGCACAATTCACATTCTGTAACAACTAACAAATTTCTGTATTTTTCTCCGAAATTTAAAATACATAGTTTCATAATTTTTGAAAATTGACAATTTTGATTAACGAATTTGACATATGACTATTTGTTTGTTCCAGATAAAATAAAATGTTCGTACATATTTTTATTGAATTAATAAATATAACAATCAAGTAAGTTTGAAATTTCTTTCACAAATATTCAAACTATAATCTATTGAAATGTATTATTTGGATAATAACGACTTTAGACTCGAACTCCCATTACAAATGAAAAATGGGTATAGACTCTAGACCCTTAGAGTTGCTAGAAATAACAACATCCAAGTTGCAACAAAAATGCCGCCATTTGTATTGTTTTGTCATTGAATTGATTGTTAATTTTTATAACAATTGTTGGTAATTTAATAAAATAATATAAATAAAACTCTCTAAAACGTGATCACAACAGATATTGGAATTAAAGGTAAGATTATATACACAATTCCAATATTTTTTTGAACAAAACAGAAGGGAAACAAAGATACATTTTATCGATTTCTTTTCCACCGGTTATTAAAGTAATAGAGTTTTCCGAAATATGTACATTTATAATCGCTGGCTTTTATTTAATTTTAAGTACCAGTGTTATCTTTATAACCAATGTGAAAAATAAGTACATAATTTTACTTTAGAGGTTACGTAGGCCCTAGTGTGTCTTTTATTTACAATGCGCTATGCCAAATTAACAAAAAGCTAGGCTTTGTCAACATTTAATCGTTTTTGTAAAATTTTTGCATAATACAAGAACTAAAAGACTTATTAATATTCATATGTTGTCAGCTACTTCAACATTAATTTTTGCTCTAAAGTAACTGGCTGTGAGCTCATTTCTGACTAAAAGAGTAAAGTAAATCTAAAATTCATCTCCCCTTTGTTAATTTCTAAATTTTTAATAACATTCAGAACAAGCTTTGTTAATCATAATCAAATGTTGAAGTTGTGTTCAGTCTAATTTGCTAGTTTTAAGATGAATATTATTTTTTGATAATACACAATTGTTTGTCTCATTAAAGTATTTATTTAAAAACGCAACACTCATATTGTATTATTAATTAATTAAAGTGAATTTATAGGTTTATTTTGCCTAAGACTCGAATGTCAGATAGCTTTAATTAACTTTGTTTCAGTAATATTGATTATTCCCCTGTTAAGGTTACCCTTTCCTCATTTAAATATCTACTTCAATATAATTTGATATTATATCATAATTGCTGTAACAGTCTGAGCAGTGCACACACCATTTCATTAATATAAACAAATAGGAGTAAGTATGTAAAATACACATTAACAAACCTGTAAATAGCAATTGTTAATTACCAAGTGAAGCAATGTGTGAAATAATTACAACAAAGCTGAAGGTCCTAGTAACTAAAGACTGAAATTATTACATATTTCCAAAACAAACAACAATAGAATAAAAGAATTTATATGCACATTCCCGATTATAACAGAAAAATCTCAAATCTCACAAGATTATATTTATAAAATTAATATGTAAAGTATAAGTATCTTAAGAATTGTTGGCAATAATTTAGATAAAAATATTTGTTTAGATTTTAGAACAATAAATATAGCATTAGTAACTCATATAAACGCAAATTAATAACATTATTTACATGAGTTATTTAAATATATTTAAGGCTGAAAAAGAAAGGTAAAACTATTGTTAATATAATCAATAATAATATATTTTAAATTGTAACTTCAAACTACGTAGTTAAAATCTTTTACTAACCCCTATCAAATCATGAGCATTAAACTTTTTAAGTATAACAAAAATGTTATACTTAAAAACTACTACTGTTTGCGTGCATTGCGTCCTTATTATAGCTTTTACGGTAGGTATATATCATTTAAAACAAGGCTGCATGCAATACACACCACATGGTCATTATGGTTTTGTAGTAGACACGGGAGCTTAATCATCACCTTATTTCTATGGGGTGGTGGGTAGAAAAGCATCAATAGCCCCCATGAAATGTCGAACGTAATAATTATCTGTGGTGGTGGGACGGCCAGTGGTTACTTTCCCGTGGTAACCGTCAACAAACGGTTGCTTAGCTACTGTTCATAATATATGCATGAGGCTGGCATGGACACTGGCGCTTTAATATGCGACTGAGGAAATTACTAGAGGCAAATATAAGATGTCTCCTCGACTTTGCGATGGCGTGCGGCACGCCCAAGACTCCTCAAGCCATTCCAATTACCCTCACGAAACGTCCAACGATTCTTACTATTCACAGCTATTTTTACCGTATAACCACCACCTCTTGTTCATAAGTGATGAGACAATCCGTTGTACGCTTGAAAGCATCATTTTGAATTCTTTTTGCCTTTATAGACTCGCACGCGAATGCTACTTGTTACTCAGTAGTAGGCACTTCGCGTAATTGCATGGGGGTTCAATTTTCTTTAGGCGACAATATTCTGTACCCCTTACCAATTTAAATAAATAAGTTTTTATGAAGCATCTACTTATAATGGACACTGCAATTATTTATGATCATATCATTCTTGTGAAAGTCGTCATTACTATACATTTGACAAGAGTTTAACTTCTATTCGTATTTCTTAATTAAATAATTTAGGGTACGATGAAATAAAACGTTTTGTTTTTCTGGTTATGCCGAAAGTAGGTGGGGCGTTCGCTATTCGTATTTATGTGTACGTTAACTTTGTAATCTTATTTACAATGTTAAGACTTCAATATGAAGTTGGATAAAACGACCCTTCTCCAAACCGATGAAGCCGGTAGAGCGGCGCAAAGTTATGATCGATATATCATCAAATATTCAAACGGCGCCGACCCATGAGGAAACGTAATAGATAACTGTTTTCTGAAAGGTCGCTAGGGCAAACAGTATAAACTATATTAAATAAATGCTTTCAAAAGATAATTGTTATGTTATGCCTCCTTCAAAGGCAGAAAAAAATCTTGCAAGGAAAAATTCAGTAACATTTTATTTAGATACCAAAGACTTTTTAACTGAATAACTCCAAAATATATCCAATTCAGTAGTTAAACGCAAATATATAGATAAAAACCGTATCCTTAGCTTATTATATAGTGTCCTGGAAAGATCGGTAATAATAGTCTATTCATTTTGTAATTTTCGAATAAATAATTCCCTTTGGGGGAGACTTGTCACGAGACATCAATTCTGCTAGACGTTTGTAAACAAATTACAAGAATATTAAATTGGATGATGATTTTGTTATTATATTGATATTAATAATTATTTTTTAATAGTCTCAAGGTACATAGGTATACCTTATAGGTATATAATAACGTTAATAGCTTTACGTGTGTTAAAATAAATATATAATACCAAAAATGACGGTTGAATCGTAATAATCCTACGGTAATTAATACAAAATAAAATACATACATATTAATGGTAATACCTAGCCTTACTTTTATTATTTTGAGTGTTTTTGAAATTATAATTAACGGGGCAGAATATAAACAACAATGATAAATAAGTAAATAATCATTTATATAACTACACTTTATACGCAATTTCCCTTTAATATGTTTATTTAAAAAACTCTAGGTCTGGGCCTCAGATTTCTAAATCTGTTTCATGATCATTTTTCAATCTAATAGGCAAGTAGGTGATTAGCCTCCAGTGCCTGACACACGCCGTCGACTTTTTGTGTTTAAGACATGTCGGTTTCCACATGATGTTTTCCTTCACCGTTCGAGCGAATGTTAAATGCGCACATAGAAAGAAAGTCGATTGGTGCACAGCAGGGGAGCGAACCTACGACCTCAGGGATGAGAGTCGCACGCTGATGGCACTAAGCTAACACTACTTTTATTTTTACGAAACGTTTAAAAAAATGCATTTGCAATTGCTTATTAATATAATGGTAGCCTCGTACTGGTTGTTGCTATTCTCACGGGTTATTGAATATTTTAATAGGACAAGAGTAAATTACAGCCTACAGCTCGACTTTGGCTGTAATAGATATGGCGAAGTTTTCAAAAGGACGTCCACCTTAATTGGGTCACCTCCGCATGATTGCTTTGTCAGCTGACGAATTCTCATGTTTACGTTGCAGTAGATCCACCTGCCGCGATCTCACGCTAATATTAAAATCTCCACATGTATTAAATTCTGTATTATGTAATTAATGGGTTCGTTTAATTATCTCAAATAAAAAGTTGTGGCGCTAGGGGCTTATTAATTTGTAAAATTTACGGTAATTTTTGATACACTGTTTGTTTTTTGTCGCTTGTAAAGTGGTTTCTATGTTTCTGTTTATCTTCTACAGATTATAATTTTGTTGTATATTATATATTATATATATTGTATAAGTTGATTTGGGATTGAAAGTGTATGAACTTTTTTGTCAGTTACAAACAAAAATGATTCATCTACGGTCGTTATTGGTTCTCTTATGAGTCAAAATAGGGTCGTATGTGATAATTAAGTATTAAATTAGATATGTAACCTAAATAGTCTATAGTTTTGTTGGTGTCGCGTAACCTAGGCAACGATTGTCTTCATTCTACTATTAGCTATTGACAAATAGATATTTGTTTGTATATGTTTACATATTTAGTATGGCCCAACAAATAAATCGAGGTTGATGTATTTGATCGTAATGATTATTTGGCTGTATTGATTGCTGTGACAGCAAAAGTTTGAAAGCAATTTGGGAGGACCATTACTAACGGTTTGCCCAGAGGTATTCAGTATTCGTATTTAATTGATGAGACGATAATAGTTCAGCATCAGTTATTAAGTCTTGTGCGTAATTATTGTAATTAAGAAAGTAATGTCAGATTTTAGAAATATGTAACGGTTCAAATTAAAGCGATTGTCTGAGTACCAAAGCGTTTGAATTATGTCTCTGCATTTTCCGAAAGCTTTTGCATTTATTTTTCTTTATCTGGTGCCTCCATTGCGAATAACCACCGGAGGTCCCGGGTTCGATACTCGGCTTAACTGTATCAGTAACAACGATAGGAAGGCCGATCACATTATTTTAAAAAAGAAATCTAATAAATAGGTGTAATAACAATGAAAAGTTAAAACACATGCATCTATTATGCTTGCTATGGTCAATTTGTTAAGTGAAGTTTATAGGTACATCGGTTAACGACATTATTGCATGTTACCCTTCCATATTTACTTAATTTTTAATTGTTTAATTGAATTAGAACACCTTAGTTTCATTAGCGCTCTTATCTTTGGTAATGCGTGGTTAAAAGACGTTATTATTTGAATTATTAATACGGTATACTTGGTAGAATTAATGCAGAGTATTTTCAATAATTAATGTTCAAGGACGATAATAATACCCTCACTAATTACTTATACAGAAAATCAATAGAATTGATAAAAAGAACGTAACAATTCTATTAATTTTAAAACTATCTTAAAGTATGGTTCAAATGTCTTAAAATAATAATGATCGTTTATTGTCATTATATTCAGGATAAATAATTCAATGGTAGCTAAATTTTGATGTGTACATTCCAAATAATGTTTTACGTTATGTATTAATAGGATATAAAAGTTATTTTAAACTTCACAAAGCGGACTAAACCATTCAAATTGAATTCAAAGGTAACATCTTTTATAAATATTTCAAAGGACTGTGTTAGAAACATTTTAACGGAATATACAGTCGCGGGAACGAGGGTCTTGGTTGTTGTCTCAGTAAGTCGCCGTTTCCGGGACACAATGAGAGGCAGGGTTATCGACAGGGTACCGCGCATGTGCAGCACTGGCGCCCTGAAGTCTCGCGAGGCCCTATTAACACCCGTGCGGAGCCCGACCGGTGTCAGTTCACTCGTCGACAACCACCAAATCGAACGCTCTTAGAACTTACGCGAAAACGTTATAATGTTCGTAATAGTGAAGAGGGTTCGCAGACTAATTTTTTCTTTTTTCTAGGTTCACGTTTGCGGCATAATTGTGGTGAGTTTATATTTATGTCCTATTATTTGCTGATCCATCAAGCTTAGTATGAGCTACGATTTATCCCTAACCCGCCTATATAAGAAATGGTAGCAGGTGAGACAGCTGTTAGTGACATTTGGAGCGCTGTTTTTTACTCAACATTTTTTGCGCGGTCCCTGGGTACCTCTTTGTGGAGCGAACACCTGCCTGCTTTATACACATATGCTTTATCGTTGTGACTTCCAAATCACTAGTTTGATAAGCTGCACAATATCTATTTAAGCTTAATTTAACTAAAACAATTTAAGATTTACTTTAATAATACTTCATACGGTTCTGTTGTTTTTGCAATTATTTTACTGATTCTATGCTGCAATTCGATTTATATTTTTAATTAAATCAAAATCTTCATATTTACAAATTTCTAATAGATCTTTAGGTTTGGGCTATAAAAAAATATGAGATATTAGCTCTACAGTTTGAACATCAATATATTATTGTGGTTAATAGCAAACGTAAAGTATTAGTGTCAATGATCTTGTTCACCCGTCCTTCTCAATGTAGAATTAGCATTTTAGGGTAGCAACTCGAAATAATGCACCTATGTTATACTGAGGTATTTCTATTGAATACATAAAGAAAAAACTTAAAAAGACTGCAATGAAATCAAATAGGCAAAAAGATTTATACAACTTTTACTTCCGACGAAACAATTGATGTTCGATTGAAGGGATTGAATCCTTCGCGATAAAGAAAAGTGATCGGTGTAACAGGCCCAAGGATGTGTCTATCCTGATCCATTGGTAGTCGCTTCGTATGTATGTAGCTGAAGCTAGACTTCTATGATTTTTTCTATCGTCTGATGAAAAAATTTAAATTAATAAAGTTTAATATATCTGGAAGCAATTTTAATTATGATCTTTAATAACTAACACTATTGGAATTTAAGTCAAACTTAAGTATCAGGAAATTATTACATTATGAAATTAAAACATAGTATCAAAACATCATAGAACTGAGACTGTTAGTGAACGTTACCATAGTTTAAGCTATTCACTAGAATTGTAGAAAATAAGTCAACATAATATTACTTATTATTATTATTTATTATGATAGCCTATTTTCGGACATGACAGTATTTTTTCTTTATTTTTCGTAGATTGTTCTTTTGTTCCACTTTTGCGTGTCCGTTTGCCAGGTGGCAAAGGCCTCCTCCATGCCCCATGTTGTTCCCGCGACTTGTATAATGTCGTCGTCCCACCTTTTTTGTGGTCTACCTCTCTTTCTCTTTTTAAAAAAAAAAAAAAAGAAAAAGAAATATTACTTATTAGCCATAATTATTGTAGGCTTGATTGTAATTCATGTATCGCACTTTTCTTTTGTGAACTTTATTGTAGGAAAACAGAAGAAATTCATAATATTTAAGTTAGCTTCTATGAATTCTGAGAAATAGGCATAATTCTCAGTTGGAGAATGCGATTTATACGACTCTTATCAAGGCATTCAGAAATTTATCGCTTCGCAATATATTTTCACGACAGTTTTTCGAATACATTGGAAAACTAAGCTTACTTATGAATTTATATAACAATAATTTTATTTATTTACATTATATATACGCCATATTTTAGCAAAAAGCATACATTCTGTATGATAATATACCTAATGATAATATTCGAGTGGCGTTACAATTCTCTAGTTTTGTCCTTGGATTCCATATGTTTATTTGATAATTTTCCCAGCCAGCCTTCTGGGCCTGATAAATGTTTAAAAAAAACAATTATATAAGTTTTAGGTCTTTGATATAGGTAGACCTACATATATAGGTATGATATGTATGTATATAGGTCCCTACGATATTTTTCTACACCGTAAGACTTAGTATTAATTGCGCATATAGACAGCATTATCCACTGGTGAAAGCATGACCTCGGGATAGATACTCAGATATTTTAACCACTAGGCCAACACTGCTCTCAGTACCACACCTACACAAAAATAACTCTATAAGAAACTGTAAAATGCGTCTACATTTTACCCAATAATTACGTGTGCGCTCCAAATTTTGTAATTTGTGTAATTAAAATAACAGCTGGTAACATTTGGCCTTTTGATCTTCGATTGGAATAAATTTTTATGAAATTCATTAGGTTAAAAGAAAATCAAGATGAAACGTGAGGCGTATGGAGATGACGGCCCGATGCAGAAACGTCACCGGCATACTGATGAGGAAATCACCTTCCTTATACCGAGTAAGGTAAGGAAACATAAAGAAAATTAAAATAAACCAAAGCGGATTTAGATTTTTATAGAAACAATGTTATCTATCTTATGTGTACTTCTTCGGTACCAGTCGAAGAGAAGTGTAATTTAATTTTATATATCAACTGAGTATTCAAGCTCAAATATCGATATTACTAAAGCTCTTTGATTTAACACAAATCTTAATTATAAATTCGATAAGTAAATTTCAATTCCGAAGTTTTCATTTCACTTTTCAATTCGAAATTGAAAAAATAATCGTAAGTAATCGTTAATCTGTTGAGCTGTGTGAGCTGAGTGAGCTGTCGAAATTTCCTTCAAATCTCCAATCAACTTCAAAGATATGTGTATTATGGGTTTGTTATATGAAATTTCAAATTTAACAGGTGGCGGGTTCGATAATTGGGAAAGGGGGATCAAACATATCAAAGCTCAGAAGTCAGGTCAGTATTAAAATTAACATACAAGGTTTGTGTCACGCATTTTAATTTTTTTGTAGTTATTTAGGTTTGTGGTATTACTATCGATTCATTAAGAAATAGTCTAGTGTACTTATAGTACTTTTTAGGTTTCTAGTATTTCAGTTAATACAGGCCTCATGACTTACCGCATTAGTTATTCCATTCAAATATCTAATTACATATCTACTCTTGTCTCTTTAATACTTGTCTTTGCATAGCTATAAATTATTAAGAAGAGTATTGGTCCCATCGGGCCCTGGAACAAGAAAACGGCTGGTCCATACAGAATAATCCCCCGGCAGCCAGTTACAGGTCTTTACTGCCCCTGAGAAGCACATGTAGTAGCGCGACGCTCCACGCGCCTCCACCCCTGTCTATCACCGTACACCATTGTATGAACTTCAGAGCATTTAACACTGTTTTCGTCCATACTCCAACCGAAAACCAGTCTTACCCAATTCAGTTACATCGATAAGATACAGTGGCACCAAAGTCTTAGACAATTGATGGTGTGCGGTGGTAAGATGGAAGCGCGTGGGGCGCCGCTACAACGCTCTTGGTTGTCGGTCCCGCCCCGCCGGACGCCGCCGAACCCGCACTCGCCGCCCCGCCACGCAGTTTAAAGCCTCTATAACAGTCCCCGATTGCCTCGGCCCCGAACGGTAAATCCCCAAACTACTCTCAAATTGGATCTTTTTAACGTCAACAGTCAGGTGTTTAGGCGCTTTACTCCCGATTCCTTATCACCACCTCAATGGAAGCACCACCTTTCCCCCTTTCGAGACCGAAGTGTCGAAATTGTCCCAGAAAGGACGATCCTTGATCGACATCCCATCGTCCTATTTAACCACGGATGCTACGATTGCCACGCTTCATTATGTCCCAAAATAGAATCCCCTGACCGTTGATACGTATTTCTTAGACTCCATAATTATTGTGCTGTCTTTTATCTGAAGGAGCGCTTGGAGTGCATGCTGAAATGTTTACGTTTTTCAGCGTACTGACAATCACGGCGGCGGATATGGAGCTCATTATGGATATCGTGAAGGAGATCTTGCCGAATTTGGCTGATGTAAGTTTTCTTGCAATATTTACTTGGTGCTAAATAATTTCCAACGTAACAGGGTACCGAAATTAAAATTTAATCTCACAGATACATAATATTTAATGAAACAATATTCTTACATAGTTATAATAATAATGCAAAAATGAATAAATAGAAAACAAAAAAAAGTTTGGTCCCAGTGGCAGTGTACTGGCTGGTGAATTTCCTAGCTCTATTGCGATACATTTTCGTCGGTTCTTTCTTTCGTACGTTCTTTCGATCGGTACTAACTTCTAAGCTTAACTTATTGCTATTAATGTGTTCTACCAACCGGCAATAACTTTAAATTGGCGCAAGCGCTGTAAAAATAAACAAGGGAATATAATAAAAACTTATTGTTATTATACCCTTTACAGTTTGCATGTACCATTAATGTCTACTTCGCTATATAGGTGACTTTCATAAGCACATCATAACAATTGTATTTCATTCATAGAATCAAAGAGGAAATGCCGATGAACTCGATATTCGTCTGCTCATTCACCAGAGTCGAGCTGGGTGTGTGATCGGGAAAGCTGGATCCAAAATAAAGGAGTTACGTGAGGTGAGTATAAATTACATAAGAATGTATTCGACATTTTCAGGAAAATTACAATTCCGTAGAGTTTGCTAAGGAGAACGGATATTCTGTCTCGTACGTATTTACTGTAGCAGCTCTAAAGAAAATCATCATCAAGATATCTAAGTTAAATTTGCATTTTTAGTACGAATTTTCCAAAAACTTATAATTATTACTAGCTGACCGGGCAAACGTCGTTTTGCCATATATATCATTTATAATAAAAAATAGGGGTTGATCGTAGAGGGGTGAAAGTTAGGGGTTTGTATGTATTTTTTAATGCTGTATCATAAAAAAATAAAAACAGAAAAAAAATAAAAATATAAAAAAAATATTTAGGGGTGGACTACCCTTAACATTTAGGGGGATGAAAAATAGTTAAATGTTGTCCGATTCTCAGACATACCCAATATGCACACAAAATTTCATGAGAATAGGTCGAGCCGTTTTGGAGGAGTATGGCAACGAAAACTGTGACACGAGAATTTTATATATTAGATGAAGTATGGTTCATGTAAGATTACACAATGTCCAGAAGTGCTTGAGTTTTTGGCCTGCTAAAACCATTTCTCCATATTGCTGTTTTGTATATATACGAATTCATAAAACTTCTACGATATCATGTGTCCCAACGCTTGAACTTGAGCTTTCTTTTCTAATTAGCTATTATAATATCTAAAGTGAAAATATGATAATTCTTATCGAAAGTAATTAAAGGTGTATAGCAGATGTCTTAGCGATCATCTGCCATTCTTGGCGCGACTCGCGAGCAATCATGAGTAGATTTTTTACTGGAATTTCGGCCGGCACTCAATTCCGTGGGTTTAGGGCGTAGGGTTGTCAAAAATTAATTAAATTCAGGCCTCTGTTACACAATCGTGATGTAAAACATCAATGTAGTACTCCTACCACTGTCTTATAGATGGAAGGTTATTTTAATTCAATTTGTAAATGAAATTTTAACAAAAATAGATTATATTATATCAAATTCATCGAAAACTAAGAACCGTAAATCTTTATTCTGAAAATGACAAAAGAAATAAGCTAATATATAAATTATATAAAATGGTATCGCGGTTTTTTTATCTGATATTGTTTAAAATAGAATCAAGTCAAGAAATACAATATACACTTTCTTTACATTATCTAAAATTTTTTTGGTGCTATTATTAGGCAACCCTATTGATCACCGGTGTGCTGTCAGATGAAGGGCAGATGTCGTTGCAGCTGCCGCCTGTATCCCGTCTTATCTGTACCATGTTTAGATTTACCTACATTTTATTGAAATTACCGAACATCATAATAGGTGTATTAGAAATTTAAATGGAAAGCGTTATAATTAGCGTATCATTACAAGATTTTGACACACGGGAGGCCTATGACTCCCACTTTCAATCTTACCCTTAAAACCTTTTTTTTTCATAAATAGTACTTTTTTTTCTTGGACATATATTTACTTTAAACCTGCAATTGGACTGACTTATTTTCTATGATTAAAGGAGCTTTGGTTAACCTCTATGGTTAAATATCATATTTTGCTTATGTATAAGGGAATTTGCCACCATATAGCGGAAACAATGTGCGGTATGTTTCATTGTGTATGATCAATATCCTATTGTGCACGCGACTTAATCAAGTTTAAAAGCCCGGCCAATTTGTCATCGTGTCTACACAAACGGTATTAAAGCTCGCCACACACTTTGACACTATATTTTCACCATTTTTATTCAGCTTTGTATCTGGTTTCAACACAGGTAATTTTTCCTTTGTTGTATAATTATGTCTATACTCCTGGGTCAAGGAATGCTGTTACTTAAATTAAAATAATCACATACAACACATATAGTGGTGGATAATAATTAATAACTAAACAGCTAAGAACCCCCCGACCTACTCATTTGCTAAAATAATGCGAACCTTTATAATATATTCTATGTTTTGCTCGTATACACTGTAGAGCAGAATTTTATATACCGTGTAAACTCCATGTCCCTTATTTAACGTCAAACTGTCTAAAGCGTCGAAATCGCTCGGCTTTGGTTGGTTTAGCTTGTCTTCCATACAATGATACACTCTACATAGCATTACAACCACGCACAATAACAACAATTAAATACTGAAAATTACTTTTTAGATAGCCGAAATCAGTTAAAACTGCGGAGCTGTGTACGTTGTTTTGTCGCTTTATTGTCCTAGCGAAAAATAAACTCGACTGTCGGTACTCGTCATACGTACCGAACTTATCGAGAAATCCGTTTTTTTGTTACAAATTGAGCATGCTTGCATGTGCTTTATCACGAAGATGCCTCAATATCGCAAGATATGAATTAATAAGTAAAAAAATACAACCTAACTACTGGTACAGTAGAAAAATAACAGACACTGCAATAGCGTTCAAATACGAATTGTTTTTAAGTAATTACTAACACTAGTCTGTAATAAACTTTATGTTTCTAATACAGTTTTTTTTTCCATTTTACGGGTACTCTTTGTAACCTAAAAATAGGCACAGTCCATAGAGTTTCGTTATATAGAGTGTACCCTATACTTCATAAACTATCTTACGCCAAAGTATGCCTGTCAAGGGTGTTGGTGAGGATAGAGCCTAATAGTGCACGTTCCGATCACTAACTGCCGCTATACGTTAAAACTTTCAAATGGGCTTTAGAACTTCACCATCTCTATCAGCCACGGACAATGTTTCATAACTTTACTTGAACGAGTTAGTAAACGCTTGCGGTCCCATATTCTGTGCAATTTTTTTTTAACTATAAAGGAAAAAACGTGTTCTCTGACTACTTGATTGGTACATCGTAATATGTTTTAGTTTCCCCACAAGCTGCCCCCGCGAACTTCGTTACGCCGTAATATGATTGTTTAATAACATACGGAACGTTTTTCTATGCTACCCCATAGAGACTGTTCGCTTTTGCGAAATAAACATCTAAGTACTAAATAAAACTAAACTTTTTCCCCAATTTTTCTCTCTATAGATAAATAAAAATACTCGAACTGACCCAGCCATCTTCGAGTTTAATATTCTGCGATAAATTTTTATCTATATAGATTTTTCCCACACATCTATGGATAAACAAAGGCAATTTTTTTTTCAGCTGCGTTTGCGTGAGAAGTAAGAATGTAAGTGGGTATTTTATGATCACAATTAATTCGTCTCGGAATGTTGTATTGTTCGATTGCTTTGTAAATGGCATAAAACAGAATTTCATTCCAAAAACATGTACGACAATTTACGTTGGACCGTTTCGAAAAATCACCGGATGAATGGTTTTCTTGCAGTTTTTGTATCGATCAGCTGTTTTTATTATTCATTTACCTTTCCAGGTATAAAGTATATGAAACTCGCCGACCTTGATTCTTTGTCGTAATTTTCGTTACATAACGAATGTTATTTTCGTACTTTTTCACGTGTATAACATCGAGTAATCCTATTTTATTGTCTAAGGTGTGCTTGCGTGGCAATTTTATGACGCTTTTCGTCCATAAGTTACAATTTTTATATGTCTAGACTGTAGATTTTTTATATCGAGCTGATATTGTTCGTATTACTTGTTGAAAATTCTCTCCCGAAATCACAGTGGGTACTATATGGTAAAATTATTTTATACGCTTAATCAGATGCCTTGTTGTCGTTTGTGAACGTTAGTAATCATAGTAAAAATATAAAGTGTGTTATAAGATGGCGTGGTAGGACGCGTGCGCATGGGCAGCTGTCACGGCAGGTGATGCCGCAGCCGCGCCGGAAGGCCGCACAAAAACCGCTCGCGCACCTGGCCAACGCCTACCTACTTGCACAATGCTTAGACCTTCCCTCACATTTCATTCAAATACGCATCCCGTACATAATTTTTCAGGTAAATTGTACTGAACTTAAGCCCGTAAGACAAAAAAATATCGCGTCATTGTTACCTTATCCCAGCAAAATCGTATTAATGAATTAATTATTCATAATTGCTTCGCGCCAAATGTTTAAAATTTAAATATTAAATTACTCAATCATATTTAACTCAATAGCGTCTACGTTGTTTGGTTATACCTCTACAGTCTACAGTATAATTAATATGAGTAACATCTTGATGCGTCACTATGTTTTACCCTAAACCGTTAAGGGTGTTAACTGGTAGTTCGTGGCAAATTATTTTAATCTGGTCACGCAGTCACCTTTCGAGGTTTCGTATGTTCCGAACATGCTTTTAGGTATTTCAATCGATCGATACTGTGGCATATTCTTGGTACAAGTTAGGTAATAAGGCTTCATTAATTGTTCGAATTGTGAACTTTAAACTTCGGTTAGTAGTGATTGTGTCAGAAGGGTGGGAACACGTGTTAGTGAGGGGTTTCTATCCGGAGGAAGTACCGGCGCCGAGGTCGAGTTACCGCGACGCACGTGACGTTTTGTTACCTCCCTCACATCCTAGATCCAAGCTTTTTTATAAAAGAACGGATGTGAAAAACAATTAGTATTGGAATGAAGTCTGCCTAACAGTCGCTATGACCAAGTTTCAATAAAATAAATTATTATCTCTGCCATAACATAGTATGACACCGCCTGCATAGTAGTATTTTTGATGGAGCAATTAACTAGGAAGAAATAACAGTGTAATATGTCTACCAATTCCCTTGTATACCATTTTGGAGTTGGCTCAGTTCCAAACTGGGTTGCGCTAAAAAATATACATTAAATTGACATGTAATAACAATGACATTTGTCGCAAGCTGTAATTTGAGCAATGCATATGTTGTCCAGTAATTATAGCCGTGGTGACAATGGCAATTACCTGCGGGACACGCGAGCTTCCGTTTCCGATCGGATCGCGCGGTACTACGGCTTCGTACCATCCTACCCCATATATATCGACCCAAAACGTACCATTCTTTTGTTTCCGCTGGCTAGATGCCATTAGATACTTAGCCCTAGCTATCGATCTCCAAATCACATGAAAGCATGTTGTCGCCAGAACGCTGCCTCATAAATCATAGCATTATCAAATATGTTACAAAACTGTTAGAAAATGAATTAAGAATCGGCTTTCGTGGTATATTTCAGACTTTATTCTAAAGAAATAATCGAGAATAAACTTATTACTTTAGTAATTAGATTTTGTTCTTAACGGAATAGAGAAACAGACATTGTTTATTCAGTCTTCAAAGAAAAGCAACCTAAGCTTCACAAAGCTTAACTAGTCTTTGTCGCGAATAAAGTTTCATAAACAGTTGAAGTAGTCGTTAGAGCGTAGGCGTGGCGCGTGCGGGAGCCCTACAAGTGCACCTTTCCGCGGGGAGGGGTAGTCAGGTGTTGCACGAAGCGAAGCACCCTGCCTCATTCCGTACTCAGCCGTCTGCCAAGATGGTCGTGTCTTCTTGTGAAGCTTGTGTTACGAGCGAAAGTCATGCGCGAGTGCCGGTTATAAAATTAAACGTGATCTTGATTGAATTAGGTTGGTGAATTTTTTATATCGAAGTATTAGCCGAGTGTGTGTTATCTAGTGTTTGTGCGTGACATGGGTGGCCCACGTGCGGCGGTCGATCTCAACGCGCGTGCGCTCTGCGACAGGAAAACGTCACTCGACAATTAAAATAGTGGAAAATGTATTCATCAGGAAAAATATCAATCAATGTGACGAATTGATTTAGGTCACAGATAAAGTGATATAAGGTCTGTTTGACTCGAAACCTTAAACGGTTTAGACAAAGCCTGGTAGGACTAAATTATTTATTCATGCTCCAGAGCTAAGTCCAAAGTGTTAAATTCATACAGTATAATTAAATTCATATTATATGCAACATAAGTTGTCAATAAAAAATAGTGTATATATTTTTTTCTTATATTCATAATACTGTCATAAAAAATGACTTTATTAATTATATAAATAATTAACATCAAATGAATAAACATACGAGGCAAATATTATTATTTTTCGCTTTATTCACCGTGGCAGAAATTTTATATGGCATAAGAACGCAGCAGGTCGCAACCGAAATTGAATAGATTGTATGAAGGGGTGTTCATTTCAATTCTCATGGGTATATAGGATTGTTAATAATTTTGAATAAAGGGTTGGGCCCCTTTAGAGAATACCTCGTCTAGCCGACCTTCAACGTGTGAAGTCTTAAGACGTTTTTCTAGGATTTATGAATAGAATAATACAATTCTTCTGTGTTTTTATAATTCGCGCATATTAAAAAGACACCTATAAAATAACAAAATTATTTTCTCGGCTCCTAGAAACGTCTTCCAAAATACGTATAATATATTGCGATGTTAGACTTTTGTATTTCAATATAAACATTGCCCCGATAGAGTGCACCAGTGAAGCTAAATTATTAAACTTTCCCGATCTTGAATGGTTAAAAACTCGTCTTATTTTATTTCAAACAGTCGTAGCAACTATAAACTAATGTATACTATTCGTACTCTTCTGATTGTATAGAAAACTGGTGCACGTCTGAAGATATTCTCTAGTCCAGCGCCGCAGAGCACAGAGCGTGTAGTACAGCTTGTTGGGAGTAGTGATGCCATCGCAGCTGGCATTCGTGAAGTGCTGGAACTTATACGACAGGTGAGATCATCTATAACCGATGTCGACTTTGTTTCATTCCTAGATCTATCTTTAGGCGCATAGAAAAGAATTTCATTTGTTCTCAGTTGGGTTTTTGTGAATTTGCATTTCCCTATTTCACTTATCTTTCTTTAGTCTTCTTAGGTGATCAGCTTTTCGTGTCTTTTAATCTGAAACAAATATAGAATAACCGAGAATTGAATCTAGAATTCCAGGTTATACGTATAATGTTACCAAGTGGTGAAAATGGAATCACGTACTTGCCTTGCCTGATTCACAAAACAAATGGCTTTCTCTAGAATATACTTAAAGACCATCAGGTAGTATTGACCTCCGTAGCTAAGAAACAGATACTGCATTTGTAATATTCCAGGGACTGGATACCGGAAATATAAGATTTAATTTAATTTACAAGGCAATTGGAACTTAATTTCCGAATACAAATTCCAGGTACCCATTCGAGGTGCTGTACAGAACTACGATCCTCACAATTATGATGATTTCTATGCGGAAGAATACGGAGGTTTTGGAAACGGGCAGGATAATGGTCGGGGCCCCCCAAGCCGCGGGCCGCCTTCGCGTGGCCCTCGCATGCCTCCTGGTAACAGAGGCCCCCCGCCCCGTGGACCCCCAATGTCCCGAAACGGACCTCCACAGAGACCCTTCAATGACGGGTCAGGGCCTCGTGGAAATTTCGGGCCGCCGCGGGGAAATTTCAGTGGTGGAAGTGGCTTTAACAGAGGAAGTCCTAATTTTGGCAATAACAACAGCCAACAAGAGACCACCACACAAGTGACAATACCTAAAGATGTAAGTTGATTATATTGTATGGTTTTACTTGCAATATTCTCTAAAAAAATATACTATGTTGTAATAATTTAATTGGAGGCTATACCCGGTTCTGAAGAATATGATTATTGTGCATGTTCTTCTAAAGCATATCATCAGTAGTTATATTAGGGCCTAAGAAATTAATTTATTTTCCGATTTTAGCTGGCCGGTGCGATAATCGGCAAGGCGGGTTCCCGTATACGCAAAATACGTGCGGACAGTGGCGCCTCCATCGAGATAGCGGAGCCATTGCCTGGCGCCTCTGACCGCGTTATCACTATTAGTGGTACACCACATCGCATACAGATGGCGCAGTACTTACTGCAACAGAGGTATATATTATTTTTTTATACTTTAAAATGCAATGGACTCGAAAATCCTGGGCATAAAATGCGGATAAAATATGTAAAAGCTATATCATTTTAAAACATATCATTATTTTAGTATATATAAAAATAGGTCGTAAGTATTTGCCTGTGTAATTTGCATATGTACAAAATATACTTTTGAGGAGATTTTAATTATTTTGGACCAGTTATAAAGTTGTGTACGGATTTCATAATCATATACATATTAGCATGTGTATAATAAAGGCTAAAACGGAGCATTTTTTCTAGTTATCAAAATTTCTGTGACATTTTCTTGATCACATATAAAATATATTCATAAATAAGCCTTAAAGCTTTATAGCATGGCTATAAAAATATTGTTCATACACAAGGGTGGGTCTAGTTGGTATCACCTACAATCATGTTTCATCTATTTATGTAATTATTAACAGATTTAAGAAAAAAAACTCATGTCGAAGAGATAAGGATTTTATTCAATTTGTAACAGTCAAGGGTAAAGGCCTAGATTCGCCCTTGTTCATACAACTGCTGATGTTACAGCTAGCTTACTTATATAATTTTCACCCATATTTATGTGTAACAACAAGGAACAAGAAGACAAAATCTATTCCATATTCATGATTGTGTAAATTAAATCATGTTGTCAGTAGAGCTCTTTTAAATTACTAAAAATGTCATTAGAAATTGGTAGTTTAGATTATATGAATGACATTTAATTGACTTATCTGAATTAACTGGCTTTGTTTTATAATAGAATGTTCCAAGAATTTCCCGATTTGGCTCCAAACAAAACTAAGATTAAGTAAATGTACAGATTGAATATATCCACATAATGGTTAAGGTAAAACATATTAAACATTTTAAGTAGTTTGAGGGTATTTTGTGACTCTGGTTTGTAGTATATTTGTAATGGGTTATAATTTAGTATTCTTAAAGTTAAATTTTACAATATTTTAACTATGATGGGCACTTTTTAATTTTCGTTTTATGTGTAAAATAAACTATGTAATGTAACATTTTTCTAAATAACATTGTTTATAGGTTGTGATCGTCATTAACAGAAGCGCCACACATTGTATGGAAGACTAGTGATTTTGTTGTTTGATATTATATAACAAGGAATCACAAGTCTCCTTACAATGCGTCGGCAAACTCATCGAAGAAGATCGCACGACATGTAACATTCATCTTTAATAACTTATCTCTTCTAGGTTTCATCAGTGTTTTGATTCTTTCTTGCTTTACTTTAGTTTTCTTGTGTTAACTTTTAGAACTTTTATATTATCTAAAATATAAGGGGTTGCAATGTGTTAAATTAAAAATAATTAATTTTCTCGACATTTTAATTATTTAAATCAACAAGATTAATTGTATTATTTTATACTTTTAGCACTCTATTAAATCAGTATCTTTTTTTTCAGTGTCCATGAAAGCAACCCATCTCTGGGAGGCCGCGGTGGGAATTATTGATTTCATAATGTTGCCTTAACTGGCAACTCTGAGGCTCATTGTGTACCTATTCTAAATATTTTACATAGATCATAGATTCTTCATTGTATGAAGTCTTAAAATATTGCTACGGGTTGTAATGTTCTTATAAATTTTTATAATGTTGAGCATTTATCACAATTTTTTTACATACTGTGTCAACATGCAAAAGATTGATTTATAATTCTAGCAATAACATCAATTGTTAGAGTAATATAGAAGTATAATAAATTTATTTTGTGAAAATTTGTTTTATTTCCTTATTTTTATTGGTCACAACAACACAGTTAATAGGCAGGTTATTATACAATATTTTCAGACATAGTTTTAATTAAGAAGAAGTAGGCATATGAATGATTTAATTCACATTATATTGTTTATCAATCTTCCTTATCTTTTGAATGATAATTTTTCTAAGTATCAAGTAAACAAAGAAGTTACTTACAATACAATTTATTATAAAATCACGTCATTTTCTTATAAATAGTAAAAAAGGTCAAAATGTTTTAAAGCTCTGCAATCTTAGAAAGTCTCCAATCATGTTGGATGTAATGGTGGAATATCTGAATGTTCATGTTTACCTAAAATGAACAGTACATATACTATGGGTGCAATTACTCCTAGTAAAAGTATAAAACACAAAAGATGGAACCACTTCAAGCCAAAATCAGCTCCTTGTGATGTCAACTGTTTAACTACTACCGTCTCCACAGATTCTCTCTCTTTATTTGGTAATAGCTGTGTATCTTCAGAAACCGATTCATTTGTATCTATATCTGTATATGGAACAACAGATGGTGTAATTGTGCTGTTTAATACAACAGCATTACAATCTATTTCAAAATCAGCATCTTTTCCGTCTGTATCTTTCGGTTGTAGCCTGTTTTGCAAAGGACTTTCTAATAAATTTTCCATTGTAAGTAAAGTAGGGGCATTTTTAGATGTTGAAGGAATTGATTCTGGACCTTTTGAGTTAGGTACTATTTCAGTAAGAACAGAATATGGTGTAACGGGTACCTTGATTGTATGTCTGGCAAAAATTTCATTATCTTTATGTATATGATTAATTCTTTTTAATTCTGATATCTGCAAAAAATAAGAATATTTTATAATACAGCATGCTTCACTGAAAAGAATATATTTGTACACAGTTCAGTCTCATAAAGAACCCTATTTTCTGGCATTGAGGAAAGTCATACAAAAAGAAATGTTATATTAGACATGAAAAACATGGCAAACCCACTAAAGTCAAGTAATTTTCACATTTTATGTAGTTTGATGTTAAATGGAGTGATATGTAATTTACACTGCATATACATACATAACTTAGATCTTAGGGTAGTGCCTTCTATAAAAAAAAATTGAGTAGTTAAGTCGTTATTAAGATTTATATTTCATTACAAATCAATTGACTAATTAGTCACGTAGGAAGTAATTAGTTTAGAACAAGTCACGATTACGATACTTACAGAACAATGGAATCGAAGGGCAATGGCTTGCAAAGTGTCTCCTTCTTGAACCTGTGCTTCAATGAAATGATCTTGTGGCTTTATTCTATGCAACTGAATATTTCCATTGTAGTTTAAAGCATTGTCCATAGTGCTATTCATACCACTAACAATTTCATCGCCGTTTTGAAATAGACGCGTCCTGATAAAAATACTAACTAATTATTTACAAAATAACATAAACATTAACTTTTAATTACCAAACAGACAATGCCTAGCCCTTACCTTTGTTTCATTTTCAAGTTTAATATTAAAACTAATAGTAACTAGCATGACCTACACTACAAAAATATCTACCTTTTATAAACGTAGACACTTTTAGTTAAATCAAAAGAAAAACAGCTGTTAGCTATTTACTCATCATTATTTTGACAAATCACAAAACTACAAGCCTACAACAAATGTCAAAAACCCATCTAATTTTTTTTAGTTTCTTGAAAGCATTGAATAAGTATTTCCACTGTCAAATAAAAAACGTTAGCTGTAAGCTGGATACTGTGCGTGTCATTGACGTGTCAATACTATGCATTTACCACAGGCGTATGATTCTATATTTTATTAAATCTATTACATATTTAAATTAGGGTATCAATACCTGGCAACATACACGAGCAATTTTTAATTTTATTATATTTATGAAGCCGTAAGCGATGCAATCCAGTGTTATCAGGTTATGTTATCACAATATTTATTGTTAGAAACATATACTGAGATTTTCATATATTAAAAGATGATGTGCAAATGTGGATGGAGATTGCTAAATGGCCTTTATTTAATTAGGTATTCATTAGAAACACACGAAAAAACAATAATTAAATCAAACTCATATATTATCATAAGGTATAAAATATAAATGCTACAAATTTATCAAAATTAGTGTCTTAAAATAATAGTTAAAGGTCATAGCTCATTAGAGCCACCCGGCACCCGACCAGCGCCGGCTCGTCGTTAGGTGTCAACTCGTTGTCCACGGGTGAACGACGCGTTGTTACTTGTGAACGTCGCGAGATCAACCAATGAACCTCGCGTGGCCAACGAGTGAACGTCGAGTGGTCAACGAGTGGACATCGCTTGGGCCACGAATTTTCGAGTAGTCTGTTAGCATTGCCACTAGGTCTACACGTGTTTTTCGTAATGTCAAATTTTACAAAGTGTGAATTGGCACTCATAGCTGTCGCGCTTATTGAAGAAGAAAATGAAAGACGCAACAGACGCGTCGTCCTCGCGTGGTTCATTCGCCGGCAGCGCGCGGTCCATGCAAGGCAAGCGTACGATCAGCGAGTCGTCACCGAGTGGTACATCCGCCGTCCGCGCGTGGCCAGATTGCGAGCGAAGCGATCCGGTGCCGACACGGCGTTGATGTAATGAGCGCTTATTCATAGAAGTCCATACAAAGAATACTAACTTCTCGAGGCGAGGCGGCGCTGGTCGGGTGCCGGGTGGCTCTAATGAGCTATGACCTTTAAGGTCCATTAAATTTAAGTATAATATATAATAAAATTTAAGTATAATACATAATAAGATTTAAGTATAATATATAATAAAATTCCAAGTTCTATAAAAGTATAACTAGTTATTTACTTACACTAAAGTTTTGGAACATAATGATAATGAAATTCAATTAGGTTTCATCAAGATTTTTAAATCTAGGTTTAGTTTTAGGCAATTTTTTTACTTTTGATTAGTTTCCGTGGCCTTAAACTTAGCAAAGTAATGTTGACATTTTCAGAAAGTTGAGAAATATCTTCCTTTGAAGAATGAAGATTTGCATTTTGTTGTTTGGACCTTGTCCAACTTGAAATGTTTAAACTATCACTAGTATTGAGGGAGCTATTTAGATTAGGTTTAGTCCTTGAAGGTCTGATTAGTTTCCGTGGCCTTAAACTTAGCAGTGTAATGTTTATATTGTCAGAAAGTTGAGAAATATTTTCCTTTGAAGAATCAACATTTGCATTTTGTTTTTTGGACCTTGTTCTTGAAATGTTTAAACTATCACTAGTATTAAAGGAGCTATTTAGAACAGGTTTTGTCCTTAAATAACTTTGTTTCTTAATACAATTTTTCGTGTTATTTGTGGTACTATCACATCCAGAGCAGTTTCTGTTAGAACTTTTTGATCTCTTACATTCTTTCCTCTTCCATTCTGAATTTTCTTTTTTGCCAGATTGTTTCTTATTAAAAGCATTTTCTTTGACAGGTCTAAATTGACCTAAAGTTTCCTTCTTCTTTTTAGTTATTATAGATTCTACTTTATTTTGTTCATTCTGTTTTTTATTTATATTTTCTTTATCATTTTGTGGAATTTCACTGCTGGCTTTTTTAATGTTTTCCATCATTTTTTTTTCTTTGACATTTGAGACTTTTATATCCATGTTCAATGTTTTCTTCTTAGCATTCCTTTTATTTATCAAATCTTGCACTGTTAAAACTTTACCTACATTCTTACTTATTTGATGTTTTGTGGTATTAAGAGTTGATGAAGTGACATCTTTTAATTGACCTGCAAAATTTCAGTGTTCAAATTTAATTTTTTGTATGGCATTGCTCTGAACAAAACAAATTTGAGTCTTTCACAAATGTAATTTACTAGACTGTTATATTCAATAAATATATCCAAAAGAAAGAGTACAATAAAGTTTTTACTTTTGTTTGTCTGCAGTACATACACTAATCTCAAAAACATAATTTTATTCTTAGTTTCAAAATGACAGTATTTTTGGAATGTACCTTTTATTTCAGCATTGAATAATTTGCAGGCAGGAACAGTTTCAGATTCTTTTTCACTTTCAATATCAGTATCCCAAAAAGAATTCACACGTTTGTACCCTGAAAAAGAGACTTTATGTAGGATATTGCAGAACAGCCTTCCTAAAACTGTAAAAACTAACATGTTAACATTTTTATTAATTCTAGTAAAACTGAGTCAATAGTATCTTAGTTTTTTTTTAATTCTTTGCACTTATTACAATTTTCAGTCTTGTGGTCTGAGTTCATATGAAATTGTTTAACTTACTTTGAACCATATTTGTGGTTGCATGTTTGTTTATAATAACACTGCAATCTCTAAGTATAGAGCTGCCATTGTGCCATTGCTGGCAGCTGCTCTTTTCAATATAATCCTTTCTAGAATCTGTTTCAAAAGCTGTGCTATTAAGTGTTTCATCTGTAAATGTATCACTGACATCACTGTTACATTTGTCATCACAAGCAGAGTTTGTTTTAATAAATTTACTAGATGTTGAATTAATTTGTTCAGCAGGAATTATTTTTTTTATTAAGCCCAATACATTGTCTTCCTCATCAGAAACATTTCTATTTAGACAAGACTGTGATGTCACAAGTTTTCTTGCTTTATTCTTTTCTTTATTATCAACTTTTGCTTGAGGACTTCCTCCAGCAGCATCACTTGCTACTTTAACACTTAACAGATCAAGTTTTGGAGTAAATAATTTTTTCTTTGATAAACTAGATTTCATTGAAACTTCATTTATTTTTAAATCCGCCATTTGTTTTAACGATTTTTTTTTATCTTTCTGATTGGATCCACTCAAAGGCTGCATTGTAGCCTCGGAAATCATAATATCTTTTATATTAACATGTTTTCCTGCAGCTTTTGTCATAGGCATTAACGGTTTCTTAAATACGTCTTTTGTCAAATGTTCAAATGGTGATTTTGGGCTTGAAAGGTTTATTTTTTTTTCATTGTTGTAACATTGATCTTTTAGGGACCGTTTTCTATTATCATAAGCAGAAAAGTTACTTTTATTTTCACTGCTGCAACAATTCTGTTCTTCTGTTTTTTTATGCCGCTCAATCAAATTATTTGTCTTAGTGGTTGTTGTTGTTTCTGTAAATCTTTGTGATTGAAGTGGACATTCTTTAGTTGTTATTTCTTCATTGCATACTAGAGTTGAGTCTGGTTTCATTACTTCCCCTAAATGGTTATTGTTTTTGTGGGAATTCAATAACATGTTTTTTTGAACAGGTATTCTAAGATCTGTTAGCAGATGAATATTATTTTTTGTAGTTGTTACTAAAGATTTATTAACTTGACTGATTTGTGGTCCTGTAAACACTGTGGCAATTTTATTTGCTTGGTTTTCACCATCTTCATTGCTACTTATGGGAGAATCGCTACTTTCTCCACTTGAAACAATTTTTCTTTGAATGTTTTTTATTTTATTATTATTTGTGTTTAGTAAGATAAACTTATTTCTATTTTTTTCATATCTTTTTCTTAATTTTTGTTTTAATTTTCGACAAACCACATTTTTAATCATTTGTAATTCATGTGTATTAAATGATTCACACTTAAGGGCATTTGTTATGTCAATGGCACTCCTTACACTGTCTAAAACAAAAGGAAAGTCTTCAAGTAACTTATCATACTAGATATTTAATTATATATAGCAAATAAAAGAGCATGTTAACACTGTTAAAAAATTTAAAAAAATATATTTATTCTTTAGATATGAAAATTTCAAGATAGACTTAGATCAACATTAGGCAGCAAGGCCCAGGCTGACAGTAGCTTTTATTCTAATAACATGATATATAAAAAAGTACTCACCCCCACTACGCAATGAAAGTGGAGATCTACTCCTACACGCTAAAACAGACCTGTGGGAACTTGGATATTTGTTAGAATTAAATCTGTTGCCCTCAAAACCACATCTGAATGACATTGGAGATTGCTGTCTTTCACAATGATACAAACTCCGAGTATGTTGTGTGAGATCCTGTCTGTAGTGATTTAAATTGGAGTGAATATTGTTCAAATCCTCCTGAAATATCGTGGTCAATAAAAATATAAATACTACAAAAAACATGGCAGTTTATTTCAATGGTTTTTTTATTAATATAATGTTGTTTATTTAACATCGTCACGAAACAATTCATCAAATAAGCAATTAATTAAAATATAATATTTACAACCAAAACTAAAGAACGATTTGAGTTGTGATTGCCGTGTGGCGTCAGTAAAGGACAAGCGCCGATAAATAAAATTACAATATATTACAAGAATAACATTAAACCAACCCCAATTTCGGTATGAAATGAAAGCATATTTTCTTCTTCAATGTCCACCATTCTACTATGTCCTACATTTAATTCGTTCATACTCTTTATTAAACAATTCAAATTAGTAAGACGTTATTATTTGATATTTCACATTTGTTTGAATTTACATTTCTCAATCATAGGACACAGAATATAGATATATTCTCAATTCTACACAGACCAGAATAATTCGTGCTCATGTTATTTGACTTAAGATGTATACCTGTCATGTGAATGGCCGTTGACGCAACACCATAGTGCACAAGACCAGGGGGGGGGAGGTTAATCTTTCCAATATGGACCATCGATTTGAATGCCCATATTCTTTTTGTAGATAGTACTCGCCAAAAGAAAGCGTTTTCGAAAATTTTAAGTTGCGGAAACTTACGGTTCATGAGATGCATTTATTTTTACTTTCCATACAAATGGGTAAATAACACAATAATATGGGCATTCAAAACGATGGTCGATTTTGGAAAGTTTAGCCCTATATAATCTATGTATTGGTACACACAAACATACATACAGTTAGTTTTCGATATCGATAAGAGATGGCGTTCACAATGACGTATAGTTTGTGATATGACAAAAAGCTGTAAGATGGTTCTCTAATCTCTATTCCCATTTCCCAGTATATATTATTTCTCTATGCTAAAGAGTAATAACTTGAGGATAGAAACTGCCTTAAAATAATGAAATGTTGGTCCTTAACTTTCTAGGGAGCGTTCAAGTATTACGTCACGCAATTTTTGGAGATTATTGACACCCCCCCCCATGTAACGCGCCGTAACGTTTTTCTGTACCTAAGTATAGTAAAACGTTTCGCGAACCCTAGTGACTCTTTATAGCTAAAAGTTACCATTATGAGGTGTAAAGTACTGAAAAGTCGAAAATAATATTAACAATAATTATAATTTGACGACTCATTGGTCTAGTGGTTAGTACCCCTGACTGCGAATCCATGGGTCTCGGGTTCGATCCCCGGCTGAGACGAACATCGATGTGATGAGCATTTGGTGTTGTGCTTAGGTCTTGGGTGTTTAAATATGTATTTATATGTCTATCTATCTATAATATGTATGTATGTCAACGTAAAATTGTAAAAACCATTAGATTGTAATCTATCTCGCGAGATTGTAAACTGTCGAAAAATTGTGAACTCAACGTACTGCTTACAATTTAACGTATTATTATTCGGTAGATTGTAATCTGTAGCTGGTACTGGGGAGCCCCCGCCCAGAGGTGAGAGCAGTACTCCATGTGGGGCCGAATTTGCGCTTTATATAGTTGCATGCGGTGGCCCGGAGTGAAGTACCGCCTCGCCTTGCTGAGCACACCTAGCTTTTTGGAGGCTAATTTAGCCTTTCCCTCCAAGTGACCGCGAAACTGAACGTCGTTCGATATGTCAACGCCAAGTATTCCAATGCTGGCTGTGGCTTTAAGAAGAGTGTTTTCGAAAAGAGGAGTAGCGACAAAGGGTGATTTTTTAGCGGAAAACGCGCAAACTTGTGTCTTCTTGGGGTTAAATTGGACTAGGTTTTGTCTGCCCCAGTCTGAGACTCCACGTAGTAGAGTTTCGACTTCAGACACAAGTTTGTTCCGGTACTCATCAACAACTGCCCGAGAAATACCTGCCCGGCCAGTGTAAAAAGTATCCCCAGTGCTGTCATCCGCATAGCAATGAATGTTGCTAAGTTGCAACATATCATTGATATGCAAAAGAAATAGGGTCGGGGATAGAACACAGCCTTGTGGGACCCCAGCGTTCACAGGTTTAAGGTCGGAACATGCTCCGTCGATGACGACCATGATGCTCCGATCGGCCAGAAAGCTGGAGATCCAATCGCATAATTTCTCGGGAAGCCCATAGGCTGGAAGCTTCGAGAGCAGTGCTCTGTACCACACCCGATCGAAGGCTTTCGCTATGTCCAAACTTACCGCCAGCGCCTCCCCCTTGGACTCAATTGCCTCTGCCCACCTATGGGTAAGGTATACAAGGAGGTCACCAGCTGAGCGACCACGACGAAAGCCGTACTGAGAATCGCTAATCAACTGGTGGCCCTCTAGATACCACAAGAGCTGGCAATTAATAATGGTTTCCATTATTTTGGAGAACAAGGAGGTTATAGCTATTGGGCGATAGTTGGACGGATCAGAGCGATCGCCTTTTTTAGGGATCGGATGTATCGAAGCGGTCTTCCAGCACTTCGGGACAGTGCCGAGCGAGTACAGGTACCGGAAAAGGCGCGTTAAGACCGGAGCCAACTCAGGAGCACAAGTACGCAGCACAATTGGGGGGATACCATCCGGCCCGCTCGACTTATGAATGTCCAAGGAAGATAGTGCTTTGCGGACAGCACGTTGCCGGAATGTGATTTCCGGCATCGAAGAATCACACCGCGAAATGGTCGGTGGTGATCTTCCTTGGTCATCCAAAGTCGAGTTGGACGCGAAGAGACAGCCCAAAAGGTCGGCCTTCTCCTTCGCAGTGTGGGCCAGAGAGTCATCCTCCCTGTGCAGTGGCGGAATGGCGGGCTGACAAAAATTCCCTTGGACAGCTTTGGCGAGAGACCAGAAGGCTCGTGTCCCTGAAGGGAGCTGGGCCAATCTCTCGCCAAATCTGGCAATGTGCTCTGACTTTGCCTTAGTGATTTCCCTTTTGAAGGACCTGGAGGCTGAGTTATATGCTGTTTTAAGTTCGCTGGTATTGGCATCACGAGATTTCGCCGCTTCCGCCCATGCCTTAAAGCATTCTCGCTTTCGACGCGAGGCCGCCTTGCAAGAACGTTTAAACCAGGGCTGAGACTTGCCACCGATCGGCACCGCAGAAAATGGAATAAAGAGTTCCATGCCCTGCAGAACCACTTCGGCGACAGAGGCGGCGACGGAATCTGGAGCTTCCGGCGAAAAGCACATAGGCCCCCAAGGGTAGGACGCAAAAAAAGACCGCATCCCATCCCAATCTGCTGACTTATAGTGCCACACGCGGCGACAGCCCGTGAAGCTAGGCCGAAGAGGGCGCGTGAACGGCACAATGCTCCGGACCACACAATGATCTGATGAACCCAATGGCGGTTCAACAGAGACTTGGTAGTTCTCCGGATGTGAAGTCAGCAGAAGGTCCAACAAAGAGGGTTTATGACCATCCACATCTGGTATTCGCGTAATCGCAGGGACCATTTGCGTCAAGTCGTAAGCCAAAGCAAAGTCGTGAAAGGATCTTCCCGCATGATCGGTGGTTTCTGAGCCGAGCCAATCGGCATGGTGGGCGTTAAAATCGCCAAGTATCACGATTTCAGCGGTAGGAACCCTTTCGAGCAGGGAATCTGTAGCCATTTGGATGTGCTCAATGAGTCGGTCAGTTTCGGTATTTCCGCTATGGGACCTATACAGGCATGCGTAGAATCGCGGATGGTCATCGCAGTCTACAAAATTGCCGTTGCCTAGTACCCATAACACAAGCTTCACCAGCTTAGCATGGGACTCGGTCAATTGGTGTGAATTGTCTTTAAAAAAAAAATAACACGTATTTCAATCCCCGCCTCGCATCGTAACGTTTTGCAAAAGGACCCGTTCGTTCGTTACGTAAGACTTGAACGCTCCCCTAGCTAAAAGGGGCCTTAGTATAGACTTGTGGCACAACACAATTTATTGAAGTAGCATCGCTAATTCGCTAATAAACATTGCTATCTTGACTATTTGCTGGCTGTTTTCAAGGTAACAGCTAAATGTTTTTAATGCTGTCTCTGTTACACTAATATCGTTAAGTTTTTTTAAGACAAGTTTATTAGAGACAATATCAAAGGTTTTTCTGAGATCAACAAATATGCCTAATGTTAATTGATGTGATCTATTTTAAGTTGAATTTTAGTAGTAAGGACTAAGGTCTATTGTAGCAAATAATGTTTTTGATGTAGGTGTAAATCCGTATTGTTTTTTTATATATGAAATTTATTCTAGTTAAGTAATCATTCAGACGCATGTATAAATCTCTTCAACAATTTTGGACAACACGGGTAGGACTGTTATTCATTGGTAACCAGGATCAGAACGTTTGCCCGACTTATATATCGCAGTTTAAGCGTGGCTACTTTAAGGCTGTCTAGAGATACACCTTTACATAGACATTGGTTAATGCAGCACGTTCACAACCAGGTTTTTAACACGCTTTAGTCTTTTGATGCTTATGCTATCTATACCTATGGGTGTGTCGCTATTTAAATTGTTAATAATTTTAATTATTTCATACGTAGTAGTAGGAATTTTTTTTTGAGGTTAGGATTCGGCAAGTAGAAAAAAATGTTATAACTAATTTTTCTCATTTACAGATCTCTATTGGATTAGTTATTACAGTCGAATGGATTTATATACTTTATTACTTTACTATTCAGTAGGTCAAACATTTTTGTAGTTTTGAAAAGCTTTTTTATTGATAAATAGTTCCACGTAGGTATTGAAAACGAGTGAGGACTGACTTTTTTAAAATAAAGCCTAGATTATTCACGATGCGCCGGCTAGCCTCTTCAATCTGGCCTCTACCACCTACTATTACATTATATACTTATACTTGTTATAGTATGAACTTTTATGTTAGGAATAAGCTAATAAAAGACGAAACCTTATCTTCCAAGTCCTTTTTTTGTCAATGTAGTTAATAATTAAACTAAAAACTACATACAGTTTGAAATATTGGGAAATAAATACTTAAATAACATTAATTGCTTATTAATAAAATAGCAATAATTTGACAATAATTATTGCTCTAGTGTAAAGCGACGATTTGGATAAGTTTATAAATTGTTTGTCTATCAAAATTTACTAATATGTTATATCATTACTAATGTAATATAATTGTAGATATCAATATAAGTTTAGTATGGTTTCACGCTAACCGCCGACACATTTAAACACACATAGGCGTGATCTCAGATACAAAAATGTTATTTTAAGTTTTGGTCACCGAGGTCGCAGGCACTAGTAATTTACGGTAGATTCAATAATCTACAAGTAGGCACAACAAATAATTAAACACATTAAAAAGAATACTAGACGTCCGTAAAACTACTAAAACATTTATTAAGAAAAAAATAATACGCACAACGAAATCTTATAGTAATAAAAATATCACAGAAATAAATTACAATATTATATGACTTTAGATTCATTGGTTATAATAAAAAATGAGCTGAGTTCCTAATTTCACAACTGAAGAAAAAATTAAATAGTAAATACATTGAGAAGAGTATTTAGGTTTGATATTGTTAAAAAAATAGCATAGTTTAATTTTAAATTAAATAATACAAAATCAAATGATTAGGTAATTAATAAATTAAATTAAATATTTTAAATGCTTTTACCCACAATTTTAACGAAAATATCATAAAGAATTCAAAGACATTCATGTCTTTTAAACTTTAAGGGAACTTAAGTCCCTTTTAATGAATATGATAAATATATAAAAAAAGTGATTAATTTCAAATCAGGGTCTTACAATTATTTGAAGACATAACATATTTCAAAGATAAATAGCGATTAAATTACTTCGAATTGTACCTTTAGCACAAACTGCGAAACTTTTGAATAGGCTGTTGTTTCTTTTTACATACTAGCGGACCTGACAGACGTTGTCCTGTACACACATCTGATGGTAAATAATCTGACACACTCATCAAAATCGGTCCATCGGTCTTACCCATTTATCGCATTATGGCTTTATCGGAAAAGATTCGAACTTCTTGGTGGCATTGTTAATGATAATACCGGTACGATACGCTAATAGAAACTAACACATAAACCGATGAACTTCAAACTTTTATTTGTCAAATTTTCAATCATACTTAATCGTAGATAACATTACGTTACAATTTTTATCAAATACACGGCTAGACTGATAAATATTTAATTTTTTGTGTGTTGCATTTGGTTATACCACGTTTATGTCACGTCCTACGGAAACAGGATAAACTATGTAAAGGTTATGTCAATCAAAGACAATAATAAAAAGTATCCTATTCTACCTACCCACCAATTTTCAGCCAAATCGGTTCAGCCCTTCTTGAGTTATAAATAGTCTAACTATTACGACTTTCTTTTATATATATATATATATAGATAGACTACACATTTTTTCAACGTTTCTTTCTTTAACTTTATTTCTTTTTAAGTGATAATATAAATTATAGTATTTATCCGTTTTATTTAAATGTAATACACGAGTAACAATAATAAGTATTGTAGGTTGGCAACACCAAGATGGGGTTTTCCATATATATAGTATGAAAATAAGAATACTCTCCTTTATAGTTTTAAATACATCTACGGTAATATGCGAAATTTTCATACATTTTCTACTATTCTTTAACGTTAACATTTTTAAGTTTGTGCTAAGAGTACAGATCCTTATGTTGTAAATATACAGGAAGGCTGCCTACGTGATATGATATTGGCAAATTATATTATATAGAGTTAAAGAATTCAATGTTCAAACAATAAAACGTGAGTATATATTACCTATATACAAAGCGTCATGAAAATAGCAAAATATTTACAAATTGACTCGAATTCACACTTTTGTGCCTTAACAGTTAACATTGAAGTGCAATCTGGCGTAAATCAATTCAATTAAAGTATAATTTAATAATACTACCGTAATAATTAAACTAATAGATTTTTATCGAAGCGTAACATTGCAGACTCCACTACACAAATTTAATTAAATAATTACATACATATTCCATAATTATTAAACGGCCTTATAAATCGTGTATTAAAGACATATTCTTTACATAGTTTACTATCTTTAGTCCAGGATTTGTATTATTTTTCTAGAATGGTAACATTTGATTTGTATGGCAAATCATTGCAATCAATTCTCTGGAATCCGCTGATATATAACGCCTAAACTTTGTTAATTATATTCACTTATTAAAAAAAACATATACAAAAAATGTATGGCAAGCAATTTACCCTTATTATATATCACTATATATAAAATCGCAATGTGACCCCTATAAGTTTTACACTATATCACAGGAAAACTGAGACGTTAGTGACAATAGGTAAAATATATATTCTTTAATATACCATGTTAATTAAAAAAAAGGATTACGGTACACGGTATACAATAATTGAAATCAGACAAAACATTGTTTTATTTTTTATAAATGACATGCAATTAGTCTGTGGTAAAGTGTATTTTTTTTGTAGTTCTGTAGATAATTAACTAAAGTATAAAGCTTAAAAAACACTGAAACTTATCCTTTTGAGATCATACTTATAGCTGTCACATGATAGTCATATTTTGGTACAATAAATTCATGTTGTATCTATAATTATTGCGGTACTTGCAGTTTTAAACGATCGTTTGCTTAGGACACATACGAGCTAAGTGTGTCAGAATCTCATGAATAAAAAATTATCCATAAACTTAAAAAATTGTCCTGGGCGATTTTAATGTAAAAACTCAACATTTTGCTTGATTATAATAGGTCAGTCTCTATAGTCTATATCAATCACAGATTACACAAGAGATCGTTCCGTTCGACCAATCACAATCAAGCGAAACGCGGTTTGTCTTTCATTTTACATTCTAACCACCCAGATCAAGGTTAAGTAATTGCCCCTTTAAAGAGTTCATACTATAAATTTCATATATCTTCGAACGCGACAAAGTCCCCAGGCCAATTCTCCCTTTTTGCGACTTTATCTGACCCAGTGCACGCGAAAAACGCGTCATTCTCAAACGGGTCGATCTCGCGTGTGAAAATATTGACGGAATCTGACTTTTTAATGTCTTTATGGGGGGGCGGTTTGGTTCTAAGAGGGGGAATGTCCCCTTCCTCCTCTTCAGCGATAGATGCAGTGCGAGGACGAATATGGGGCACGTGGGGCAACGTAAAGTCGTCCTCAAACATGGAGCGAGGTGAGATCGAGTCAGAATCGAATCGGAAACGCGCGGCTGGCGAGTCACCGTCTCTGGCACGAGCCGAACTGCCGCTCATAGGGGACGCTGTTGTATCTTCTTCGAAGGCAAATCTAAAAAAAAATTGTTTGTGAACTTGTGCCACATATTTGTATGAAAACTTAATACAACATTTTTAAAACGGACAAAAGACATCGGAAATCAGGCTATGACTACTAGCTATGAAACACAAATTTCTAAAGGCATCTTTAAGTATATGACCAAGAGATAATGTTTTTATTTCTAAAAAGACATCAAATGTTACCCATTAACAATTTTATTGGAAAATTCAATTATCGTTTTTATTATTTTTCTTTACCTATTATGTTTATCACCGTTTTAACCTTCCCTGAACTTCCACAAATATTACAAGATTAGCCAAATCGATCCAGCCATTCTCGAGTTTTAACGAGACAAAGTCAAGACAAACACCAATTCATTTTTTATATATATGTTGGAGCTATGGCGTTGCTGAATTACTTTTAATAATAATAATGACTTTGGAATTATTAGTACTATGGACATAGTCGTGAATTTGTAGATCAATTCATATTAGCAAATCAAATAAGCCATAAGCATTAAACGGTTTAAAACTGATTTTACTTTGGCGTTGTTAATGTCTATGACAATGGCAGCAGACAGTACCACCCGCCATTGCTCCGACATAATATATAATCCAAGTTAGAAACATATTTGTATTAATGATTTTAGCTAAATACATATATAAATCTCTGTGTGTGGGATAATTAATGGCAAGAAAGCAAGCCTAAAGGCTACTAATAGACTACTTTTGAAATATAATAAAATCTCAAAATATTTATGGGTATTAAGAAAAGTATCCCTGTATTTTAAGAAAATCTAGAATTTGTGGAGTTATTCAAAATGGGCACGAACCTCGTTCCTTCTAAACTCGAATACGGCGCACGTTTCTTGATAACAGCGGGCGATTCTTGATAGTCATTATCGAACGGAGAATGCTCCTTTTCTCGAGGCGAGAAATCATTGGAGAACCTATAGTTGGGGCGGACTCTGGCTTCTTCACGCCTCCTCCTTCGTGGATCGCGGGAATCTCGTAATGAGTCCCGATTTGAAGTCGCTGACTCCCGTCCAGAATCTCTGGGGTCCCGGGAGTCTCGACCCGATTCCCGTCCTGAATCCCGCGGATCCCTTGAGTCCCTGCCGGAGTCCCGACCAGATTCTCGATGTTCTCGGGAGTCCCGACCCGAATGCTCGCGTCCTGAGTCCCGCAGGTCTCTGTTAGATTCGCGGTGGCTGCCAGAACGACGACCAGGCCAACCCATAGTATATGTTGATGGCATTCTAGGGTTAGAGAAAGAAATAGTGGAAAAAATCAACACGAAAAGTAGTAACATGATTAAAATAAAAGAGAATCTAAAGAAAATTAAGAAGAAGTGTTCTACATATTCAAAAATAATTTCATTTTGAAAAAATTATGTTAAATGTCGCGCGGCCAAGATGCGCAACCAGACTGCAAGGGTCGCGACCAAGAAACGCGGCCAAAACCGAAAGGGATTATTTCATACATATTTCAACGACCTTAAGCAATATGATGACAAGTTCTTTAATTATTTGTGGATGAGCAAGTCTTCGTTTAAAGAACTGTTAAGAAAATAATTCACGGCCGCCACGGCTAGTGCGCGCACATTGGTGTTTATCTACAGTTCGTTTGATCTCAGTGGCCTCAGATGCGTCGCTTCGATCTCGTTGGCCGTCTCGCGTGCGGCCAGGTGCGCGGTTCATGGCGATTTCATAATAATGTATCCATCTCGCTGACCGCTAGTGCGCTATTGCCCTTGTACAACTCACCTTCGTTCGCTAGAGTCTTCAGCTTGCCTTAACTCATGACGACGCCTTGTTTCTCTCCAGCCCAGAGATCCATAATGTCTTTCTGTAATAATTTATATTACCTTAATATTGAATATAAAAAAAATAAAACTAGTGATAAGTTTACTAGAATAGAACATACGCATAATGTTAATACTCGAAACAAACGCAGACTGCAATTTCCCAGAACTAGACTATCCAAAGTTTCTTCTTAGTAATTATTTTGGGAAAAGGGATACTTTTCTTTAATAAAATCCCAGAGGCTCTTTTATCTCTGCCATTAAATAAATTTAAGAAATGTATTAAAGAAAAGCTGTGTAAAGGTTTACTAAAAGGTAAAGATTATCCAGTTGATAAAGGGCCTGGGACTAGTGAGATAGGCTACTTCTAATTAATTTGTGATATTTGTTTTAAAATAAGTGTTGTTTACTATAGTCATTTTGTATGATGATTTGCTATTTTAAAAGAGTACCGAGAGTTTTTTACGCCGGCCTTTTCTCTAGGCCTACACTCTCTGTCTTCTTTGCCGATGAGTAGGGATGTCTACCTATACTAATTTAATGACGTGTAATAAGTGATACCTTTATCTTATGTTCCGTAAAAAACATATTTCATTTATTTTATAGGCCAATTAGTCATTACTCAACATGTCTATGCATTAAATTTAGTTTACTTGCAACAGCAATAATCGAACACATTTTATTCTGATAAAACTGCACAAATTGTAATGTTGAAGAAGGAAGGTGTTCCTCCAAACAAAAGGGAGGATTCTCGATCTGTCTAAACACTGATCCGAAACGCCCTGATGGCTAAGGTCGAGAAGTATATATCCTCAACGAAATAAATTCGTGAGCGCGTTACAGTGTATGACGTCATTGCAAAGATTGTATCTGTAGAATGTATGACTATAACAAAAATTTCACTAAGTGTGGCCATAGACGGACCGCATGTTGCAGTCAAAACCGACTGCTCTAAGCGGTCGCCGCACGGCGATCTGCAGTTTCCATACTAAATTCATATCCTCAATACACGGACCGCACGACCAATTTCTGAGCGGTCGGAGCAGTCGCTCTGCGGTCGAGTTTCGCCGTGCGGTCGACTACAAGCGGTTGGTGCCGACCGTGCGCCTCTCCCTCAAATACAATAAAATACTAACTAATTCATCAAATGAAACCACAGACATTCTAAAGTATGTAGTTGAAAAACATATTAGTGTCTTCTCTCAGCTGGGGATACAAAGTATGAAATATTCCATGCTGTTCTCTTGATTATAGTATTGGACGCACCCACATACTATCTTCTACGCCTACGCTTGCGTAATAATAGTACAAATAGCAGTGTTTTTTCATCGAAATCCATCTTGTAAATGAACTCGCATCAGTATTATTTTGCGGTCGAACACAACTGCTCCAAGCAGTCGTAGCCGACTGCATTATGCGGTCGTGTTGAAGCCGTGTACGACTTCAACGTGACTGCTCTACAGTGAAATTCTATTTTTCAAATTAAAATTTCGTAAAGAGAATTTATGAAATATGAGTATTTCATATTTTTAGCAAAATAATTTATTGCAATCTCAAATGACGAATTGTAAATTAAAACGTGTATTTTTATTATCGAAGAAATAATTTTTTTTTTTAAATTTATTATTTGTATTAATTTTCGACACTTAATATTTTAATGGCAATTAAATTCATTAAATTCCTAACATATTATCTTCCTTTTTCCCTCCCTCTAAGTCTCGGAAATCAAGAGAACAAGAGCTATAAAATTACTTAGCCAAAGAAGTTTCTTTGGCTAATTTATATCACGTATTTTTTTATTTGTAATTTCCAGCTGACTAAACTACTTCTATCTAAATTGTCTGGATCATTTTAATAACTTCTTAGCGTGACGAATAGAAATCCTAACTAAATAATCTTTCGTTTATTTCAATAATGAAAACAAGCCAGCCACTAGGTAAGTATTTTCCATATATTAAATTGAAATAAAATTGTAGTTTAAAAGTATTTATAGTAATAACTTACCATCTCTTCTCCACCTCTGTTCTGGCCATCTTTTTCTGGGTGACGATCTGCCAGATCCACAGCCGTCGCTGTAGCTGAAAGTTATATTATAAAATAAACAATAATTCGTGGCCTTTATCCTTTTTATGTATTGCAAAAAATTTCCCCTTAGTATTTTAAAACTTTTCCGCGAGACTTTCCAAAACCAAACATGACTATAAAGTCAAAGTCAAAAATCATTTATTCATATAGGCAACACAATGTACACTTATGATCAAAAAAAAGAAATGTATATGAAATGCTTCTAACTTTACAATTAAGGCGGAAACACACTTACGTGTCGCGGCGTGTCGTGACGCGCCAGAAGCATATTGGTTTCATACATTTAATATGATTAGAAACATATTTGCATGTAGTGTCGTGTCGCAACACGTTCTGTCGTGGCGCCGACTGCTCGCCACCGATTGCGCCAGAGCGGTGGTGGGGGTTATGACGCGACACGACACAACAGGCAAATGTGTTTCTAAACCGGCGCGTGGCTCATGGCGCGAACATCTAGCAGATATGAAATTAAATGATGAAATTTCTCTTCGTCACTCTCTAATTTTTTAACAAGACGATGAAATTCACCTTTGTCTTGTCTCCCTCTGTTTATAGGGTGAACCCAGTATCTTTTCTTTTTTTTGCTCTTAAGAAGTTTCATTGCTAAGAGAAATTGAAGGTCTTATTCAAAATCACTATCCGAATCAGACGAAAACATTATGTATGTTTGAACGCTGCAAAGGTTCGTTAAGTTCTGTTCAGAAATAACGCCAGAGGATGCCACGACACGACACGTAAGTGTGCACACTCACCGTCACGACAGTAAGCATCACGACACGCCACGACACGTAAGTGTATTTCCGCCTTTAGTGCCAGTTCTTAAATCAAGGGCGTAGAACGAAAGAGAAGAACAAGCAAAAAACTCTCCGCCCTTTTTAATCGCCATGTATTTTATTACACAACGTTTGTAAGGCGCTGCAACCATTACACCATGTATCACTACAATACTAACATAAATTAAAAACAAAGACTTGTCCTCTATCAGCAGGAGGCATGGTAAAATAGGAGCACGCACTTATATTCTCGTGGGAACAACACGCAAATACATAGTCGAAATAACTAGCATCACCGCATACACGAATTCAAGTACGACCAGTAACCACAAGTAGCACCCGTTCACGAGTATAGAAAATGGTTCCAATTGATGCATATAAATTATAATACTAACTCTTCATCATCATCATAAGAGTGCCGTGTTTTCCTATGTCGCTCCATTTCCCTGTAATCTTTAGATCTTTCACGGCTTCGTGAATCCCTGTAATCTCTTTCCCGGTATGGTCTATCTCTATCCCAACCATCGCGATCACGACTACGTCTATCTCTCTTTTCCCTACTGAGATCCCTTCGATCCCTTCCACTTCCCGAATCGCGTTGATCTCTACTCTCCCTTTTGTCTCTTATTTTCTCCTTCTCACGTCCACTGCCGGAGTCCAAGCATTCCCGCGAACCTGATGAGTTGTGGCTGTAATTAAAAAAATATTTTTTATAATGAAATAAATTTTAGTTTTTCCTAATTTTTTGCTTTACTAAAGAGTTCTAAAACAACTTTGGACTGTAATGGGACACATATTTATTTTAAAATAGTTTTAGATAGATATACAACGGGCCTTTTTGGGGGCTCTAGAATTATATATAAAATTTATTGTGGCATATAAAGTAAAAAGTATAATAGAATACCGTGATTCTCTGTCGCGTCGTGTAGTGTGTCGAATTGACCGTTCTTCTTCCCACGGGGACGCATCGCGGGAAGACGATGATGTTTGAACTGTTACATAGAAACATTAACTTTCTAAAGGGGGTTCTATAATAATGTCTAGGGGAACCACTTAATTCCTTTTTCATTATAACAACTTTCACAAACCAATTCTTATTATAAAAAATAAAACAAAATCAGTAGCACTACAACCTTTTTAGGACTTTTTGGGTTTAGGCAAGCCGGTTTCCTTAAGGTGAGAACTGACCAAAGTTACGAGGTGTAATGTAGCATTCGCATCGAGGGTGTTACGCATCGAGCATGTTACGCTGTGTTTTAAAATCGGCGTAACATGCTCTTCAAAACTCTGTGCTCCGCTTTCGCCGCCAGAGTTCACGAGATGGCCGACAGCGAGGACGTGTTGATATCTTTCATTCTATTTAATTATTGTTTCATCCAAATTAAGAAGAAAAAGAAAAAATGTAACTGGACATCAAACTTATTTAAAAACACAGGCGTATGAGGTGGTTTGTTATTGATTGCAATATTAAAAAACCAAATGATTACTGGACAGTATAAAAACTTTTACGCATGTGTCAATTTTGAAGAACTGTTGAATTTAATTGGACCAAAAGTACGTAAGAACTCGCGACGTGCGACGCGTACTGACTGAACCGCGTAACAGTCAAAAGATTCGCCAAAAAACCGACAGCCGGGTGGAGCACTCAAAGCGAGTAACGAGCGGCTCGTCGCTCGCTGGTTTCCCCGTAACACGTACTGACTGCACGAATGCTCGCTGTGTAACGTGTTACATTACACCTCGTAACGTTGGTCAGTTCCCACCTTTACGATGTTTTTCTTCACCGTTCGAGCGAATATTAAATGCGCACTTAGGATTTTGGCCGATTGAAACTCAGGTATGAGAATTTCACTCTGAAGCCACTAGGTTGACTCTGCTCGCACTTTTTTTTAAACAGAATAAAAAAAATATTCGAAGTGATTCATTCACACTGACTGGGCGGCGGTATCACTTAACATCAGGTTTCCGTTTGCCCCCCGTTCAATAAAAAAAAAATGGTATAACTATCGGCTAAATAGATAAATTGTTTAGAATATACTATAATGGTTTCGGGTCGGTAGACAAAACCCTTACTTGCCTTAAAGAAGATCAATGAAAAGACCCAGAAATATGTAAATAAGTCCCGAATAAAGTCCAGGAAAACAATATCTGCGATACATTTCATTGCAACAAGGCAATTTAGTACTAATAAAGTATGCAAAAGAGCTCCCAACATTGGTAATGCGGTTATGGTGTACCTGTTTGTCCAAAATGCGTCCTCCTTCTCCTCCGCGGCTCTGAGTCCCTCGAGTCTGAAGACCAGCCCTCAGTCCAGGCCAGACGCCTCAGCCCACCGCTGCCCACACACCGCTCTGCGCATGCGACACACAAAACTAGCACGTTAAATAATTTATCCATGGACATTTATCATTTTTAATACTGTTTTCTTCGTAGGTTATACTTTTTGAGGATTAACTTTATAAACAAAGTAATAGCAATCATATTGATATTTAATTTAACAGGAGGCAACTGGGGTGGAAACTGATATCAAGTGACACCGGCGCCCGTGATAGACTCACATTGGCAGAAGGCTCGTTAGTGCGTTGCCGCCCTTTTTGGACCGCTCGGTAATTGGTACGCTCTTGTCTTGTAGGACCCTAAGTCGAATTGGTTCGGAAATATTTCAGTTTAAATGTTAAGATCGTTATTATTTAGAGTAGGTGAAAAACTTAAGTACCTTTAGTATCAGGTGAAGATCCACTAGCAACATCGCTGATAGAACCAGCCGAAAGCCTTTGAGGAGGCTGCAAACTAACCGGTAGAATATCTATCGGCGTCTCACTTTTTTCAATTATCTTGTCCTCTTCCCTTTCTTTCACAGCCGGACTCTTCCTAAAAGCGTCTTCAACATGCGTAAACGATAACGAACTGTTGTCAATACAGTCGAAGAAATCCGAATTGTCGAAGCCGTCTGATTTCTCGTCGGACTTCTTTCGTTCTTTAGGAACTTCGGGGGGAATAGATTCGAAGTCATCTTGTGGCTCTGTTATTGTGATTTCCCGTAATGCGGCATATTTATCGGTCTCGTCCAGTTTCTCCTCTCGCGGCGATACGCTGCGTCTCGATTTTTCTAACTGTAAATTCATCATAACATTCTTAACATCTTCTATTTTAGCGTCAACTGGTTTCGGACTGACTGAATTTCTGAACATATTGAACGTATTGAGCGTCAACTCGTCTAATGATTTAAGTGGACTTTTGTCTTCAGTCTTAAGTAATTCTTGAATGTGTGTGAGTTCTTTGTCGTCTTCTTTTGCGGGCTCTTTTGGATCAAGTATTGATTTAGCTTTTAATTCTTGCTCTTGTATTTCTCTAAACGCCGCGTATCTGTCATAAGAGCTATTTGCCTTTTGGTCAAAGTCATCGAAGTTAGCAACGAATGTGTCTGCAGAGTCGGTAGGAGCAAAGTTGTCTTCGAACTGTGGTTTGAAGTCATTTGCGAGCGATGGTAAGGGAGTAATCTTTTCAGGCATTCTTGCATTAGAGAGTATCGGTGTTAGATTTTCTTTCTCTATGGCTTTTGATGGCTCAACGTGTATATGCTGTAAAGGTTTAGTAATGAATAATAATAAAGAAGTATATACAATAAGGAAAAATTGAGGACAGTGGGGGCCTTTGCCCGTAGGCACACAGAATCAGTTATCATAATAATAATAATATATATAACATAGATTAAGAAAAACAATATTTATAATGTATATATTTTGTATTTCTGATATAAGGCTATAAATAAATAAATAAAAAATAATATCAACCGTAAACATTAATTTCTCGGGAGTTGTGTTATTTACCGAGCTAACTCACGGAATAAATGCGTAAAAATGGATCGTGGACTAAAAAGTGATACTAGATCTAGTAGCAAATTCAGACCCTTCGTCTGATTCTCGTAGAATTTGAAACTTATTTATTTCGTGCTACAAATTATACAAAACAGTAATAACTTACCGCCCGTTCGACATCGGCCGCTAAATAAGAACGCAAGTACTCAGTTAGTTGCGGCAACGTCATTGAAGATAGTGTCGTCGCCGGCACACGCAATCTGAACAAAAAACATGTTTTAAATCAAACAAGTTCCTTTCAAACACATTTGTCTGAAAATTATAAGGCTATCTTACCGTACTAAATCATCCAGCAAAGCTGGCTTTAACTAGAATTTTATAGTATTCAAATATGCTTTAAACTAAAAATGATCTTAACTATGTGTCCTGAGTCCTATTATTTATATTTGAAAGGAAAAAAGATGGATCCCTTAAGAACGCTGAAATGTGTTTTCCGTATTCCCCTATTACTTAATAAATTAATAATTAAAAAGTTGCCATCGGTAATATTACCTAATGGCCAATTCGTCCATAGTCAGCGTAAGTAATTGACAGAGTGTGATATCAAAACGCTTAGCGGCGGGCAAAGGCGGCGGCGCAGGCGCAAGGTATTCGTCCTCGCTACTGTTGGTCGTTATTGACGACATACGCGGTTTCATACTGCGGTCCGCCTGCAAAAATTATATTAAAAACTAGACAGATTCGACACAGCGAGACAGACTGTTTATGCGGAAGTTATAGAGCAGCGTGTGCGCTGACATAGGTGTACTCTCTATTGCATAACTCTCATAGCTATTTAAAAAATATAATATATTTATTTGGGTAAAATAAAATATGTTTATTATGGAATATAAGATACAGGTATCACTTATTCTACGTCGTTAAATTTGAATCGGTAGACATCCCTACTCATCGGCAAAAAAGACAGAGGGTATAAGCCGACGTAAAAAACTCTAAGTACTCTTTGAAAGTACCACAATATACTCTCACGAGAAGAGCTGGTCTACCAGTCGCCATAGTTTATTTAAGAAGATGCTGGTAAGGAGCTACAACCATTACAAGCTCTTCGTGCATGGAATGAATTGTTTCATAAAAAAAAAGACTTCAGAAAACGTAAATTTCAGAAAAAGTGAATAATTATTGTAAAAATCTCACCACAGGCTCTTTCTTCCGAACCGGTTTCGGTAAGGGCGGCCCAGTTTCCAAATCCTCCACATCCGGCTCATACTCGTGCGGCGGTCTGGGCGGGGGCAAACCCGGTTCTAAAACCTTCTTGGGGGGTAAGGGTGGAGGAGGTGACGCATTATCTGGCATCTTAGAACTGGGCTGTGGGCGCTGGCGAATGGTGGTTGTGTCTGTCATCTGTTATAAACAAATATACATTATGAATATTACGTATATAATAAATGAGCCTCCGACGACAGCGCTTCGACGGTATGGGATCGTAGCATTGGTCTGACGACTCATTGGTCTAGTGGTTAGTACCCCTGACTGCGAAACCATGGGTCCCGGGTTCGATTCCCGGCTGAGACGAACATCGATGTGATGAGCATTTGATGTTGTGCTTAGGTCTTGGGTGTTTAAATATGTATTTATATGTCTATCTATCTATAATATGTATGTATATCCGTTGCCTAGTACCCATAACACAAGCTTCACTAGCTTAGCATGGGACTAGGTCAATTGGTGTGAATTGTCTTTAATAAAAAAATAAAAAAAAAATTTTTTGTCTTTGACAGAGGCGTAACAATAGGGTGGCAGGGCTGGCAAAATGCCACGGGCCCCCTACCCAAGAGGCCCAAGAGATATTATGTTCTATGGATGAATGTGAAGTCTCCAATACGCATTGGTCTAGCGTGGGGACTACAGACCTTTCCCTCTCGCCTAAAAGAGGAGGTCTATGGCCATTAGTGGGACATATACAACGTGTAATTGAGTACGCTGAAAATCTCGAAATTTATTAAAATTAAACTGAGTACGTAACGATTTTTACTGATAGGGCGCCATTTAAAAAGAATTAGCCCCGGATGGTATAGTTACGCATTGGCCGTTGATCAGTTAAAGCTTTTAATTCAGTAGTTTTATGGAATTAAAAAGAATAATTGCTAAGAAGACATGTAGTTTTTTGTTCACATTATAGGTAACTACTCTTTATTAATAATTAATAAATTAATTCAACAATAATTTATTGTTTTAGTCAGTACACAATTGTATGTATAGAGCCACATAGACCTTCGTGCATTTAAAAAATCAGTGGTCCTACAACCTTTTTAGATCTGGCCTCAGATTTTTGTATCTGTTTCATGATCATTTGTCAATAGGCAAGCAGGTGATCAGCCTCCTGACGCACACCGTCGACTTTTTGGGTCTAAGGTAAGCCGGTTTTCCTCACGATGTTTTCCTTCACCGTTCGAGCAAAGGTTAAATGCGCACATAGAAAGAAAGTCCATTGATCCATGCCGGGGATCGAACCTACGACCTCGGGGATGAGAGTCGCACGCTGAAACCACTAGGCCAACACTGTTCCTTCGTGTATTTGCTGCTACGAAAAAGCCACGTGTTTTAGGTGTTAATGCCAACCAGCTCTGTAATCTAAAGTCTCACCTGCCTTTGTAGTCTCGGCGATTTAGGAACTGGTTCGGGAGGTAAGGACACGTGTAGCGGACCATTAAACACATTCTTTCCGGTTCGGTTTTCCAGGCCGATCTCCTTATCTAGAGGATCTTTGCTCAATTTGCTTTTCGAGTCCTCGGCTCTCAAAAAACTCGACTTTGAAAACTCTTGCATACTCGTAAAAGGGTCTTCTTTGAACGTATCCGAGAACGGGTCGGTATTATCGAAAGGATCGGTTTCCGCGAACGGATCGCTGGAAAAGAAGCCCGTGTACCCCGTACTCTGATTGTTTTTCACTATCGACACCGTTCCGCCCGAGTGACGCGAGAGGGACGTCATGGTGGTAGTGGGACCGTAGGAGTCCGTGGGTTCTGTCACCGGTAATATATCGTTTAGTATGGAAGTCGTCGGGACGAGGTCTTTGAGTACTTTCTTTGGTGGGTTTTTGAGCTCCTGAAAGAAGAGTTTTTTGTCAACGTAAGGTTTACTCCGGCCGGTGCCGAGAGGGTCTAGTTCGGTGAATACGTCGTAGGGCGCCGGGCGGCTGCCGGCGACCGAGCCAACCTGCAACACCCATCACGATTCTATTGCGCTTCATTAGTACGGCAACAGCCACGATACATTGTTCGCCTAAGACATGCAGCTATTCCGATACGGCTAAGTACAGGACGGCCGGAAAATCACTTTGGGGCTTAGGTTTTCTTAGCAAAATTAACACGGAATTGTGTTTTCAAGTAATATGGCCAACCTGTACCTAGAACACAAAGACAAATAAAATAAAAAGCTCCAGGGATAAAAAGAGTGCAAGGTGTGCAGGTATGTAATTTCGAGACGTTTTTCATAAGCATTTAATACTAAACAATAATATACGCAAAACTTAAATAATACATTTACAATCGCATTAAAATTATGCCGGGTCCATACGCTTGTCAAACTCTGACCAGCCAAACAGCTAGCACCTTCGTGAGTTAAACGTGAGAAGTATGAAAACATCCTCAGTAATTAAAATTCATGCATTTGGTTTAGAATTGTTGGGTTTCTTAAAATTATCAATGGTTCGTGACAAGCGTGAAGACTGGGTGTAAAACATTTTTAGTACATAAAGCATGCTCTTTTGATCTCTCATTATTATCATCATAAATCAATTATATCCAAATAACTCATATATTTAATACTGAAACAATGTATAATTCCTCCATTTTGCTATGAAAATTTAAATTTTTTTTTGAAGTAATTCTCAATATTTTATTATATAAGTAATTATTAGACAACCATAGTTTGTATTTATTTTGATTTACTACCATAGACAACTGTATCAAACTCTAGCAAAACTTACCAATGGTTCAGGGACATTATCGACTAGCGAGGATTGTTCGAAGTCTGATGCAAAAGAGGCCACTTGTCCCCCAAGACCTTGCACCGAAGGTCCCGAAAGACCCATGGATGGCCCCGGGGTTCCCATGGATGCCCCCGCGGCTCCCAAAGACGGGGTCTGTCCGGAAGGAACGTCAAAAGACAAAGGTGGTTTGCTAGGACTTCCAGAACTTCTTCCAGGTGTGGTTCGGCCCCGACCAGCGCCTGGTGGAGGCGGAAGTAATCCTTTCTGGAAATTTTAAGATAAACCACTGAATTAAATTGATGATTGCAGGATGGAAACTATTTGAAACGTAATTTTAAATGGCGGTCAAATGCTGCCTATAAGAAACATCAACGACACGTAGCAATTACGAATAGTAATTTGGATACAGGAATTTGGCTAAAATGAGGGCTCACGAGATCTATGAATAACATTATCGCATTGACAAGTTGATAATAAAAATGTTCGTATCTGTTTATATCACTACTTTTATACTAAACGGAACCTTGTGTATTTTATTAATGGATAAGCTGCTTAATGACACAAGAAAGATCTAGATATGTAGGGCGCGAAACACACAGAAAAGGCGTAAGGTGAAGCGCGGCGCAGGCATCTTGCCGCTTCAAAACGCGTCAATACAAAATGTACGTAAGCTGCACGTTGTTAATTATACTCAAGCGGCGTGGCACAGGCACGTCGTATTGTCGTTGAGTTGCAGCAAAGCCAGCGCATCTTCGTCATCTGACGAGGAAGACATGCTATCACGATAAAGTCAGCCTGCGTAATGACTCTTTGTGCCGTCTCTTCGCCTCTTTGATATAATTTAAGTCGCATCCGTGCCTTATCTGTTCCACGCCGGCACTGCGCCTGCGCCGCGCCTTCACCTTACGCCTTTTCTGTATGTTTCGCGCCTAAAGGAACGAAATTTTGGGAACCACAGATAATGTAGGAGTCATTGCGGAAAAAAATCCAAAAAGGTACTTACCTGTGGGGGTGTTATAAAAGAGTCCCCGAATGGATCACTAGAAGGTGTCAGACCCTCCACTTGTGAGAGACCTCTTCGCAGAGAGCATAACTCCTGTTCCAAGTCAACCAATTCTGCTACACCCCCCTCCGCGCCCTCCACTGCCTTAGCTGGACTTTCGCCTGTGGAATTCTGTAAACAGAACTTACTAATTACATTCCATACGAAAATAATGTTAAGTGCAACAGTCTCAGACAACACCACTGCCTATTATTCCAAGTTTAGTAAACCTTTTAATAAAAAATGTTATCTTGTGCGTTTTTTACTGTTTGTGATGAAAAGGGACGTAATTATCAGTCGCCGTAAAACAACTTTTAATGTGGAGCACTACACTTAATGACATGGATACAAGGTTTGTAATCTGTGACATTTCAAAAAATTATAGCTGTCAGAATTCTACGGAATGAAAAATCAGAGTACAGAAAAATTTATAATAAAAATGGTAGTAAATGCAGGACACACACCGAGGAGGAAGAAAGAAATTTTATTTTCTACTAATTAATACGAAAAATCTAATTGTCTCGTTTGATTGTAATTGGTGCACCGCTTAGACAAATCTAGTACACGAACTTAAAGTTTTAAGTGCATTCTATATTTCAAAATATTTTAATTTATGAGTGTTAAAGCGATGCAAACGGCGAAGAAACCCTAAACCAAAACAAAAAATACCAAACTAAAAACTCACATCGCATTGCGCGCACGGGTTGCGTATACGCACGTAATTTTTGAAACAACACGGAATTTTTTGTATGAAGCGCGACAAAGCCGTTCTCTCACGCATTATCACAATACTGAATTGCGTGAATTCTATGAACAATATATTGTTTACGCCTGCTCATTGCTTCCCAATGCGGTATGTATAAACAACATTGTTCGCCGTATTAACTTATTTATTTTTATATGTTTTCCAAATTATTTCCAGCAATCGATTCCAATTTATTTCAATTTGCCTAATGTCGATTTAACAGATTTTCGTTTTGGTAAATATTTTGTATGAAAGATAGTTTTATCGAACTGTTTTATTATCACAATGATTTAAATTACTATCATAAAAATCCCTCGACTTTTCACATATTTAAAAAATCAGTGGAGTTACAATCTTTTTAGGTCTAGGCCTCAGATTTCTGTATCAGTTGCATGATCATTTCTCAATAAGGCAAGTAGGTGATCAGCCTCCTGTGTCTGACACACGGCGACGACTTTTTGGTTTTCAAGCTAAGCCGATTTCCTCGCGATGTTTTCCTTCACCGTTTGAGCGAATGCTAAATGCGCACATAGAAAGAAATTCTATTAGTGCACAGCCGGGGATCGAACCTACAACCTCAGGGTTAAGAGGTCAGGGTTAAGGGTCGCATGCTGAAGCCATAGGGTAACACTTTTCACATATTTTATAATTATACTCCATTTCATTAGGTATACAGAAATATTTATTGCGACAGAATTTAGCAAAGACCTAACTAAATTCAGTAACTCCGATGATGTTTAGGTCATTAAAGTTACTGAATTATCTTGAATTATGTCTGAGACTTCAAGAAATTCAAGAAGGAAATTTAATTCATCTCATGATAATTAAACTTACTGAGTCAATATCACCAGGACCTACTTATTGGGAACATTGATTGTTGAATTATTATTTTCATTCTTATGCGTATATGATATTTTAATAATAGTTAATTTATTGCCAACACACACATATACAATATGTACAACATTCTTAACCTACATAGTATTAATAATAATTAAAAAATTGTAACAAGAAAATTAAAACAGATTTCAAAGTTTTGGTCCCTGTGGCAGTGTACCATTAACGCTGGCTGTATTGCGATACTTATTCGTTGAGCGAAAAGCACCAGCTCTGTGGTCATCGATACTATCTACCAGGCGACCACTTAGGTCTTTAATTAGCGCCTGTGCACTTGAACCCCACGGCCCAAGTCTCTACTCCAAAGGGGGCAAAGTTGGAGAAAAGACTCTTATATTTGAGCTGTTTATTTATTTTCGCCTGCTCTGCGCCCGCGCCATCTTTTGTGTGTGAAATTATATAATGCATCGATGTAGAATGATAACCTCGTATGTCCAGAGTACCAAACATTACAGAAAACGAATAAAATGTTTTATTTCGTCAATGTTCGTTAAAATGTTATGTGTTTTTGTCCATATTTTTGGATGGTCAAAAGGACTTTTTTATTAATAACATAAATAAGCCCTTACTTCATGATTATACCAGTTAAATGACATAAGAGTAAGAATAAAAAATAAATGCTTTTTTTTCTTAGACTCTTTAAAGAGCGACACACGAGGTTATCATCCTACAGTGACGATATTTTTTATAGTTTGAATTCTGTTATTATAGGGTATACCTATTTTTTAAGACATCTTATTCACGTAAATAAAAAGTACCTTGGACTTATTCTCGAAAAGGTTTATTTGCTTTAACAAACTGCTGGGATGTGTTTGTTTGTTGTCTTCAAGATTTTGTTTGGCCATCTCGATTTCTTTCTTCTTCAACTCGAACACTACTTGAAATAGGTCCCTCATTGCTATAACTACCTGTAAAGAAATAAGGTAAATGTAAGAATTACATATCTATATTATCTAATATATAAAATTCTCGTGTCACAATGTTCGTTGCCATACTCCTCCGAAAGGGCTCGACCGATTCTTATGAAATTTTTTATGCATATCCAGTAAGTCTGAGAATCGGCGTCTACTTTTCAAACCGGTCAAGGGTGGTCCACCCCTAAATTTTTTTTTTTATTTTTTATGATACAGCATACAGAAACACAACCCATAATTTTCAGCCCTCTACGATCAACCCCTATTTTTTATTTCTTAATTAAAATCTTATGACTTGAACTCTGAGGTTTATATAGAGATAAACCAACCAGATGGACCGATCAAGTGAAAGAATCATCGTCCACAACTATACACTGAATTCTAAAATAAGAGAGGCGCTGGACAGAATTCGGTGGAAACAGATTGTCCGCTCCAGATGTTTCCTTGCAGACCACGACGCTCAGACATGAGCTACCGACTGAAGAGAGAGATATATACTCTCAATACATTTCGCGTTAATATCCATTAAATAATTTTTAAAATTTACGATACTACGAAATAGGTCCCTAAAGTAAGATGTTTACTCTAGACATAAATATTGTAACAAAACCATTTAAAATAGAAATTTTCATAAGATAATGAACTAGTTATTCGAAACGACCGTTTTAATTGGCAAAGTATTCAGTCAATTGAATGCATCCTTTTCGTGAACACGATGTGATCATTCCTGCTGTACTTAGCATTGATACTTATTTCGTATTTTTGGATATACCAAGCGTAATTGAAAGTAGTAAATAAATGTAAATTTAGTTGGATTTTATAGTGTTACCGATAAAACAAATTATTTTAACACAAGTAAAATAAAAATAAAAAATGTTTATTATGGAACATAAGATACATGTACCACTTATTTAAATTTGAATTTTTTGGCATCCCTACTCATCGGCAAAGAAGACAGAGGGTGTAGGCCGAGAGAAAAAGCCGGCGTAAAAAACTCTCGGTACTCTTTTAAAATAGCAAATCATCAAACAACACTTATTTTAAAACAAATATCGCAAATTAATTAGAAGTAGCCTGTCTAGCACTAGTCCCAGGCCCTTTTATCAACTAGATAATCGTTGACTTTATAGTAAGCCTTTTTACACAGCTTTTCTTTAATACATTTCTTAAATTTATTGAAAGTCTGCCTTTGATAAAAGAGCCTCTGGGATTTTATTAAAGAAGAGTATCCCTTTTCCCAAAAAAGAATTACTAACTTTAGATAGTCTAGTACGGGGAAATTGCAGCCTGCGTTTGTTCCGAGTATTAACATTGTGCGTATGTTCTATTCTAGTAAACTTATCACTATTTTTGTATAGGTACATACATAATATTTTCATAAATCGATTGCGAGGGAAAGGTAAGTATATTAATTTTCTTGAATTTATCTCTAAGAGATTCCCTACATTTTAAATTATAGATTGCACGAATAGCCCTCTTCTGCAGGATGAAAATAGTTTCGACATCAGCAGCAGTCGACATCTTCAGCAGCAGTCAGAAACACGTTATCTAAAAAAAGACAGCGCAGAGCCTTCTGGCAGTGGTTGTCATTGGCCGCGGTATCAAAAAACATCAAAATTACCCTAACATCAAAATTACGACAAGAATGTTTACTTTAATTATATATATTTTTTAATTTTAATTTTAAGTAGAGGCAAACATCTGATAATTTCCCAAGCTAACGACACGAACGCGAGCCTTCTGGCAGTGGTTGTCATTGGCCGCGGTATCACTCAACATCAAAATTACGACAAGAATGTTTACTTTAATTATATATATTTTTAATTTTAATTTTATGTATAGGCAAAAATCTCATAATTTCCCAAGCTAACTCTTCATATTCATTACTTAGTCGATTAACATTTACATGTAAAATTCGTATCATTTTTATAAAACTTACTAAACGCGTTTTAAATTCTCCATCTCGGTCCTAATTAACATTTAATTTAAACTATATTATTTATATAGTACAGTGTAAAAGTTTTTATAACGTCATTCGTTATTACGATAAACTCTCTGTAACGTAAAAATGAGTTAAATTTATTTGTTTTAACCCATACATTATTTATTCCCTCTCTATAACGAATCCTTGGTATAAAAAATCAACTCTCGGTCCCTTGAAATTCGTTATAAAGAGTTACATTATTATTTACACTGTATCTTAATTATCGAAGAGCTGGGAAGTCTGACACAGGTACCTTGTACTTAAAAGGGTCTTATAATATAACAAATAAACATATTTTTATTATTAATTTATTTTAACTAACCTGACTAGCAGCTTTATCAGTCTTAATACCAAAGAAACGATGACCGGTGTCTGGTGAGCCGTATATGTAACCAAATGCGCGGGAGTCGGTCATATCTTGCGCGATAAACGAGATCTTGTGAACTGGATGGTGGTAAAGAGAATCCTGTAAAAATTATACATTCCATTATATTATTGGCTTCTACTTTAAGCAATACTATAAAGTGTACCTGATATAATTATATAAGCTACGGTTAATGTTTCAATGAGATGCTTTAAATAAAAGAGACATTATTTTCACTCTTTATTTACTATAACTAAATAATGCTTATAATGCTGAAGAGAGTGCCTGAGTCTGGCTATACTCTCGGGGCGTAGCTTCGACGATTTAGGTGATTGCCACGCTTATAAAACTAAGAAAGCCTGCGTGAAAAAAAACTTGTGTGAACTTATGTACACGCGTTAGAAGTTATACTTCTTTGGCGTAACAAGATAAAAATCTTTTCAAAAGTTTTATTCTACATTTGTAGAAAAAACAACACTAACAATAGAAATAATGTAATAATTTTTAACTAACAACAAATTTTTTACACAACTTTTATTTGATTATATGTAACACTAAGAAATTTTTTTTTAATTGTTTTAAACCGGCACGGAATAATTGTAACGTGCGTAGGAACGTTAGATCAATTTTGTCACAATTTCTATCATGAATAAAGTTTTATTATTATGTTTCGTAACTGTTTATTTTATAAATATGAAGATCAAGGATCGAGCTAAAGCTCAGGATTGATTCTTGATCCTGGAACACTGTTGCACACGGGCCTAAGCCAAGTGAACACAGTTTTTTATGGGTGCTGCTTTGTGACGGATGATAAATGGATTTTGGGAGGTCTAAAAAAATTGACAGATTCGTGTAGAATTGATTTATTATATAATAATAGATAGATTAGTTTACTGGCATTATTCCGGTGGTACACAAAATGATATTGTTATTATTAATTTCAGTTAATTATTGGGCAAATCAAGGAGATGATTTCAACAGCCCGGAGGACTTACAATATCGATATAACTTACCCCGGTCTTATCATCCCGCAACCGCAGTCCATCAATCGCTACATGCACCTGTATCCTCTGCTTGTGTTCGCCAGCAGCTCGTATTGCCATCTTGAGATCAGAGAGTGCCTCTTGACACATCTTGTCACCACGAGCCTCAGGTACCTCCAATACGCCTATTAATTTGGCGCGAAAAGGTACACCCTCCCCGAGAAATCGACCCGGCTCGTTCTTGTCTGTGAGAGGAGCATAAAAAACTATAGGTTATATTATATGAATGTCCTCATACTATAACATTCGATTGTTAATAGAAACGTGCACAGATGAAGAGAGCAATGCTATGATGTGGTCCTGGATTATCAGAATTGAGGTTGCCTCTGGTGTTTTTTTTAAAGGCCGGCAACGCACTCGCGAGCACTCTGACACGGAATGTCCATGGGCGGTATCACTTAAAAAGTGAACCTCCTGCCCGTTTGCACCTGTTATATAAAAACAATTGTTTCCCTTTAATGTAAGCTAGACGTGTGTATGAAATCGTTATGATCGGAAAAAAGTATTTTATTGTATTAACTATTAAGTACCTATATAAATCTGCTATACATAATTAAAAGTTTTAAATAAAACGAGGCGGTAAAGAAGCATTATGTTTTTCATTCTTTGGCACAAAAACGCGATAACATGATTCTACTACTTGGCGACGAAATCGTTTTCATAACATTACATTTGTCTATAGTCTAGACAATTTAATACTCGAAAATGCTGTTATGAAAATAAGTAATTTCCTTTAAACATATCAGAATATATCATTTAAGAAACGTTTCATCAGGTTTTTATCGAAAGTTCTGTATCGGTAATTAAAATATTATGTCTTTAAACTAAGAATAAAAAAATTGTTTCTTAAAAATGCTTCAGACTTTTATATTCTTAGTGTTCTAGTTCGTATAGAAAAATATTTAGACAGAATTAAAAGAAAATTTGATTTTTTTTTTTGCAATAATAATTAAATTTTTATCTGATTTATCGATAGATATATATATATATGTAAGGAAAACATATTTTCCTATACAAACTCTTTTTATAATTTATTTTTCTTCTTTGCCGTCTGATCGACGATGTTTAATTTGTCACTTGACATAATAGATGTAAGATGTTTTAATTTTTTTCATTACATTATTTTATTTTATAAAACCTAAAATAGAGGCTTTAAATGTTGTTTCTTTTGTATTCACAGGTGAGTGAATAATTTGTAAATATATATTTTTCATTAAATGTAAATTAATAGATATTTCTTTAGTAAATAAATCTTTTGTATTCACAGAGAAACGCAGTTGCGCCTTATTTATCCCCAGTACTCGTATAAGCGATCGATACCATTATAAAACAACATTTTCTGCAATATGGAAAGATTGAGGTTTGATTTTATTGTGAAACCGTCAGAAGATGGAAAATCAAACATCATTTGCATAGACACGATCGCTACAACTGGTGGACAGGTTTTTGCAATTCCGGCCGAGTTTCAGCCTGCAAATTTACACCAAGCTGTAATAAAAACTCCCAACTACATTAAAGTAAAAAAATCTTTAAATAAAAGATATCAAACTAGAAAAGTATGGATAACCATTACAGAAGAGTTATCAAATATATATTTAGATGA